TTCCACATATGAGCGATCTCATATGGTATTTTTCTTGACTGACAATTTTTAAACTTTATTCCTTGGTGTTTCACAGAGGTGCCAGGGGGCCTACCACAAGCTGAGGGGAAGGTGGAGTGCTCTAGGCTACTCTTCCCCATCATATATGTGTCTCAATCCAATCAGAGCAATTCTGACTTCATGTTTCATGTATTTCACTCCTGAGCATAGGAAATAATTTGATACTAAAACAGCTTGAAAACATGAATGAATTCTTGAAAAATATAATTCTTCAATGGATGCCTAGGATCTTTCTTGTTTGGTCATGCCCTTGAACCCATGCTGACCTCTCCTCTTCTAGAGTAAGTCTCTGTCACTTACCCCACTTTCTAACCATATCACAAGAGTCAGGTTTTCTCTGCTTTCAGGAGAAGAGACTATGGCCTGTCTAATCCTTGTGTCTTTAGAGTGGCAAGTCCTTCCTTCTTTGGTCCCATGTGCGTGTGACTGTGTGATTGATTGCTGGATGGGTTTGTTGGAGGGTTGCTCACACCCAAGATGCTCAAGACTTCCTGAATTGAGCCATGCTCCTCATGGCTTTCAGCACAAGGGTAGAATTTCATTCTTAATTTGCCAAGGACCACATAAAACCAATGAAGAAAGTCTCATCTCGATTTCCCTCCTGTCTTCCCTCTCTCATTCACACAAATACAACCAGTCTGACAAAGAAACAAGGGTTGGTGGAAAAATTAAATGCTCTGTGAAATTTCTGCACCAGACGAGTGGTACAAATTGAGGTGAAGAAGCCCTAAAAGCTGCCAGGTCAAAAGTCCAGCCTCTTGACAAAAGCTAAACATGCCTTCACCTGCTGCACAGAACCACAAAATAGAAACCATGCACCTCAACCCAGGGCAGAACGGGAGGCCAGGAGTGATATTACGCAATACAGCAGAGTCATATGCAAAGTCCCACTAAAACAGAAATAAGGCGGCTTAACTGACGAACACATTTCACACAATTCATCTTGGCTGACAGCCCAAGAGAATTCACTTTGGAGCACATGAGTTACATGACCATGAAAGCTGGGGTTGGAAAAAGAAGTTCTGATGGGTCCCAAATAATAAATAACCTTCTGATGTTAATTTCAGCCACTGAAACAAACCAATCACAAAAACTAACCTGTGCACACTTACTCATGGGTACTCACACTCTGACTTTCTTTCCTTCTTCTCCAAGACAATGTAACTTGGGGGAGGAGGTGACGTGTACCATTTGAAAGTGTGAGGAGATGGCTTTTTTTTTTTCATGAGATGTTCTTAATGGCCTCCTATAAGATGCCTTACAGAGAGGACTATATACTTCCATCAAAGTTCCGACTTAGCCAGAATTTCAGAAATCACTCAGCAATGACAATGGAACACCAAGCAGGACTGTGGCATTAAAATGTATCACTGCCCCCCCCAACCCCGTCCCCGCATGCTGGTGCCCTGATCCTGGAGGGTCCAAGGTGGAGAACACAGCTGCTTACCGTGACTGGCATGGGTGGGAGTTGCACCTTCGGACCTGGGGCTCTGGCCGGCTCGCTTGAGGGCAGTCACTGTCATTCACCAGAGTCGTGGTCTTGTTGATAATTCTTGTGCAGGACACGATGGTTCTGCGTTCCCCTGGAAACCAGACCACACAGAACTGAGAGGCTGTGGTACACTCACCTGGAAAGGCCATTCAGTCACCTCACGGAGGAGTGTTCAGGTACATCTTTTGGTCAGTTTGTCATTTACGGTGACTGTTGTCACGTCTTATTGTTTGACAGAGAGGGAGAATCTCAGGGATGAGGGTGTATAAGACATGCAGGGGCAGCACGGGGCAGGAGAAAGATTCCAGAACAGGATCAGAAAGAAGCAACACTTCAGATCAGCTGTGTCCTTGGACAGCTTGGGATTCACTGAGGCCAAAGTTCTGATTTGGGTCTTTAATTTCCAACAAAAATTGCCAATCTCTACCTCTGTTCATTAGATGTTTAAAGTCTATGGTCTTGATCAAATACCTGTACATCAGCCCTCACCAGAAATGATGGCTATCTATTACAGAATCCCTACTCGCTGGAGAGAAGTGAGAAACAGGAAGGCTAGTCTGAAGGACACAGACCTGCATCCTGCAGGCAGGCAGTCCACCGCCAACCTGAGAATTCACCTGCCCATCAACTGCTACTCATGCCCAGCATCACCTGCTCTTGGGAAGCTTCCCTGACCGGTCACCCCGGTTGGATGTAGTCATTCTCTTGGGAGTTCCCAAAGCACCCTCCCGCTGCTTGGTCATGACTTTGCTGGGAGGGTAGGTGGTGGAGAATGGTTGGGAGCGAGGTGGGCAGCCTCTGGAGCGAGGCTGTCTGGGTTCAAATTTGACTTGATCACTAGCACTGCGATCATAGTATGGACCATGTTTCTGTGCCTTCGTCTCCTCTACTGAACTGATTCACTTCACTTCCCTCTGCCTTAGGGTGCTTCAGGGATGGTCAAAAGGAATTGATTGATGCATATAAAGTGTTTAGAACAGAGCCTGGGAGGGGTTAACTCTTCAGGTTAGCTACATCCTTACTGTCATTATAATCATTTGGGAAGTGTCACAATCAAAGGTTAACAGGCTGTCAAGTACAACTTTATGGATCCCAGGCTCCTTGGGTCTGTCTCCTGGGGAATCTGTCATGTGGGAATGACTCAAAATTATGGAGCCCTAAACTTGTGTCAGCATAAAAAGCATACAGCTGCCTCAAACCAGATTTCAGTTAGGGCTGCAGGTCAGGGAGCTGGGAGTCATCAGTGATGTAAAAGGACGCCATTGGGCCAGGGCTGACAGCAGCAGACGGCAGCCCCTCTCCCCCGAGGTGACGGGGGCCTGCTAACTCTCCCACTGGGGCCATGCTCAGTTTGCAGTAAGTTGCCCCCAAGGGAAAGTCTGGTGCAATCAGGGATATGGGCAGCGTGGAAGGATGACGGGGCTGACAGTGGGATCTTGAGACTGTGTCACCTCCTACAGGGCTGCTTGAGGAAGAGGCTGAGAACAAACAGTGGAGGCAGTCAGCCAAGATGTGCAGAAGAGGGAAGGGATTCCTATCTGACCCTGGCAAGTGTCTGACGGGTCCGGTTATGCTATGGCTATAATTCCTACCCCCGAGAAGTGGGACAAGTCACTTTAATGGTAAACGAGTCTCTACATATTGGATATCTGACAAACATCACCTTCACGGTCAGGAGCCAGGCAAAGCTGAGTGCTGGTGAGGCTGTGCCCCTGTTCCACGCTGCTAGCACACCCTCTGGGTTGGCGTTCCAGAGTCAAGGTCAACCTTTTGTCCTAACTCGGTGCCCATCAAAATCCACCCAGCCTGCACCCCACCTCCATGACCCCGCTGTGTGTCTGTCAGGGTGACAGAGTACACTGTACTAAGGGGCTGCTGCCTAAGAGTTCAGAAAGCTTCTGAGACAGGAAGGAAGGGGGAAGGGCACGGCCATTCAAAGAATGACACAGCCATTAACACCAAGATGGTGGAAGATCCAACTCCAAAAAGGCCTTGAGGCCCAAGATTGTGGGAGATTTGACTTCCAGTAGACTTTGAGCTTCATTATACCCTCATGGTAATGTATTAACATGGTACATGGCACTCGCACAGGCGCCATGACAATTTCGAGATTGACCATAAAAGGTCAAAGAGTGAGTGGCAGCCCAGTTCCTGGGAACCACCACCCCTCCCCAAGAAGTTGGAATAATCTTAGCACTTGTTAGCATAGGAAGTTACCGAGTCCATAAAAACTAGCAACACCGCACATGGTGGCCACTCTACCTTCTGAATGAGATGGATCGCTCTCTATGGAGTGTGTATCTGCTTTTACTTTACATTGAGCACCCAACACCCACACCTTGTGGCCTTTCTCTTGCCTTCGGAGACAGCCTGTCCTCTGTCTATGGCTCTCTCTGAATAAATCTACGTTTACTCAACTGTGGCTCACTCTTGAATTCTTTCCTGCGTGAAGCCAAGGGCCCTCACTTGGTGGGGCACATCCCAGGGACTCAACTGAGACCTGGGACATGGCCATCCTCTCGCCCCACATTCTCTTTCCTGTTCCTCCTGAACAACACAGTAACAGACTACAATGCCTTTTGTTCATACTGATTTTTGTGTATGACAGTTTCCTCCTTGCAGTGGGTGTGAGGGCCGAACATCCAGTCTCAGAGGTGAGGAAATGTAGGTGCAGAGAGGGTAAGTCATTTGCTAAAACATGGAGGCAAGTCACGAAGTCAGGACTCATGCTCTGAAAGGTTCACTGGACTTTGATGGGTTTTTCTTTCCATTGTATTACTGTTGGTTCCACTATATACCCACTGGTGACTGTGGCAAAGAGGGAAGGGTATTTTAGGGTCAGAAACATCTTCTGGTACCCCTCTATGAAATGGCAACAGAGGAAGGCCTGTCCTGTTCATTCCCAGGGTCACCTGTCACACTTGTGACATAGCCAAGCTCAAACTCAGATCAGAGCCCAAGGGTCCTGTGCAAAGCAGCCATGTGGGCACAGCTCTAACCTGCAGGAGTCTGGAAACTCCACCCAAGTGTTTTGCAGAGAGATCTGCAGTGGGACGTGGTTACATTCCCATGGAAATACAGGTGTGTGGCCAGCTTTTCCCATGTTCCGTGCGCTGGCCTTGGAATGTCCCGAATTCGCTCTTTCCTCCTTTGACAAAACCCCCCAGCCAGTGAGCCCACGACCGCGCTGCTCACCTCCTCCGCACTGCACGCTGCACCCTTCCCAGCCGCTGTGGGTCCAGATGAACAAGGAGTCCTGGGGTTTTTCCGGTTCACTTTGATTCTCAGCAGTGTAGTTTACAGGAATGGTGTATTCGTAATGAATTCCATAATTTTGGTCGTGAAATAACAACACCTGGATCAGCAGCAAAATACAAGGCCATTTTAAAATCAAGCAAAAGCCAACAGGATTGCTGAATCTGCAAGCCAAGCTGTGCTGTGGCTGTCTCCCTACCAGGGATAACCAGCTCTTTTCGGGGTCTCCAAACAGGTTCAATTGAGGGGCACTTCTTTATTTCAGTCTTGGGTTCTCCAGAGACTCAACCCGGGAGCAGGAGCACCTGTGAACCACTGGCAGGGAGTTCTGCTCTTTCCCACGGGAGAGAGGACTGGGTTAGAGGAGGAACTGGGGGATGGGCAAGTCTGTGGGCTCTAACTGCGCCTCACATGGAGAGCTGCTCCGTGCAAAGTACCCGTTCCCACACAGTCACTCGCAAAGCTGTCCTTGCAGGCAAGAAAGACGCAGAGATACTGCTTTTTCTAAAAAGGCATCTGAACGAGGAGAGTTGCTCTACTTTTCTGAAAATGAACACCACTCTTCATGCCGCTGCTGTGTATCACTGTGATGGGTGAGGCTGGCTCAAGGGTAGACACAGCCCATTGCAGGGGAACCTTGGGGATGTCTGTCAAGGATGCATGAGCCTTCCTGTTGCGAAGGGAACTAGGACGATGATGATGTCCTGGCTCAGGGCTTAAAGCCGGGAGTGAGTGGCAGGGAGCCAGTGAGTAGATGGATGAGGCTGGACCTGCCTAGGGGAAGGCAAGGTGGACCGTGTGGGCCAGGTGGACGGAGGGTGACAGGAGCCACCCTCCGTCCCAAACATCTCCCTCCCTTTCAAGGCCTGGAGGTGCAGGGTGGGAGTGGGGTGCTAAGAACAGCCCGAACTAAATAAACATTCACTGCTCCAAAAAAATAAACTTGCAGTAATGCATTTGGAAAAATGCCTTCAGTTAAAAAAAAAAAAGAAACTCTTTAAAAAGAGATCTTTATTATCTCAGTATGGGAATAAGGCTGGTGAATTGAGAATCCATATGAAACCAATTTCATGCAATTTTGTAGCCACGTATAATTTGTGTGTGCATGTGCGTAATTGGTTTCAAATGCAGGTCCCCGTGGCTCTGCCAGTGCTCCTGACCCTGAAAGCAGTGTGCACAGCCTGGTTAGGGGACAATGGACTTCTATTTATAGGCTGAGGGGCACCTCTCATTTCGAGGTTTAAAAACTAGAAGTGACAATCATATTTCAAGAGAGAAAGGAGATTCACGTTCAAGAGGGCTGCCACTTCAGCGGTGACAACTGCTGTTTTCCCTGAGTTTTGTTTATCATGGTCTGAATGAATCCAGGCTGGGCACTTGCTTTAATGGGCTGATGATTCACTCACAGTTTATGAAAGCTTTTGGGAAAGAGAGGAAATAGACCCATCTTGGTGTCTGCTAGAAAAGCAAGTTCACATGCTAACAGGTAATGTTGCTATATTGATTTTATCTTGTCTCTGGCTTCGTCTTTTAGTCCCTCTGAATGACTGCTTTTAAATCAAGACCAGAAGATTTGTTCTAATGACTTAGATTCGGAAACAATCTAATCACAGAGAAATGGCTCAGGTACAGGTTCTTAGATCCCAGAAATTGACTGGCAGGGATACACCAGCAGTAGGCTTAGTGGGCTGAGTGTTGCACTGACAGACTTCCGGACAGTTTATCTCATGTGTGGAAACTGGCTTTCTTTGCCCTCATCAGAAATTGGAACAGGGTTAGAGCCATCGTGGATGACATCTCTGCTCACATGCAGAGCTGGTCCCCTCAGGAGATTCCCTGGGAGATGACTTGGGAATCCTTTGGGTGTCACCTAATCTTGAACAGCTGCAGGTTGCCAGTGACCACAAATTAACTGGGGGAACTAACTTCCTAGGAGACACTTTGGCAAGCACTCTGATTACAGACACACAAGCTGTCACAATCCCAATGTTTTGGAAAGAGATACAGAATCAGTAATTCCAAGCTATCAGAAATTAGACACGAGAACTTCTGGACTCTGAGAAGGAAACAGTGGCATTCCTTTCCCTGGGGATCTTTAATATTCTTCAAGGGCAGCACAACCAGGAGTGTAAGTGGTTTGCATGGGGTCCTCTGGGGCAACAACAGGTGAGACAAGGGTGCCCTGATCTCGCCCAACTGCACAGGCTTCCTGAGAACACCCGGGGAGTAAATGTCACAGTAGAACCTGATTCGCCCCCATTTCCTCAATGTTTTTTATAAGCCGAGTCTGGAAAATCTGAGTGATGTTGGTTTGGAAATAGAGTCAACTGCTCACTTCCAAAAGGTAGTTTCCAATGTGGATCTACAAACTGCGGGGCGGATCTCTGCCATCCGACATGAAAACACAGACTCTGAGTGGGGCTGTCTGCTTAAGGAAGCCAAGTCTGCCTAGCTGCCACATGGCTAAGCATTTCCTTCCTGGAGGCAGTTCCGTTTGAAAAAGATGGGAGTTCTGCCAACAGAGAGCTAGGGCAAGGTTTTGAGAGGGGAAAGGGATTAGGTAAGAAAAGACTAAGAGAAAGGTCTGAGCAGCAGGTGGCCAGGTAAGCCACCAGGAACCATGTGTCTTTTCTGCCAGGGTCCCAGGGAAGAAGTCAACTGGTAGACCTTTTGGAGCTGTCAGTCTTAAGACAAACACAAAAGCATAGCATATTACCATCAAATGCAGCGGCAATTTGGTTGGTCCCTTGGCAGAAATTTTCTCCCACAGGCCCCTTCTAACATAGCGAACGGTCGTGCCTGCGATCTGGAACTCTCCGGGGAGCTCTATCTTCCAGTCACTGTTGATGGATCTCTTGCTGGAGTCTTTGAGAGCTAAGAAGAAAACGGAACACCATGGAATCAGGGGGAGTCAGTCTGTCCTTGAAGGGAGTCTGGGTGTCCTACGTCTGGGTCAGAAGCCTCACCCTCCCACCTCCATTGGGGAGAGGAGAGAGGCCCGCAGTAAGGGAAAGGGAGCCTCCTGTGTCCTGAGAACAGGAGCCTGGCTCACAAGGAGCAAGCAGCTCATGACCCCAGAACCCTTGGAGAGAGAGTGGTCGTGACTCCCGCACATTCGAGCATGGGCTGCTGTCTGAGAATCAGCTCACACGGTGGAGGTGCGGGGCTGAGTGCCAGCTGGTGGAGACAGCCACAGCCCCATCACATTTTGCTGAACTTTCAGAGTAGAGGGTTTTCTGCCTGCTGAATGGATTCTATTTTAATACATCCAAGGCTACAAAATGGGTTTTGCAGCTTCAGCAAAATTCAATTCATTTTACTGTTCCCTACGTGGGGCTTTTTCAAGGGTAGCCTAACTCCAACATCTCTTAGGGATTTGATAGCCCTACATTAGTGAAGTCGATGCTCCTTCAAGAAACAAGTGTCCTGTTACTAAATATGTGAGTCTGGAACCCTAAGCTGCCTACAGGTGTGGCCATAAGGTCAGCTGACGCCGTGTGGGTGGCGGGGATGCTCCCAGCCCTGGATCCGTGGAATTCAGGTTTACACTTTGCTCACTCACACTTCCACTCAGTACAAAAGGTGTTGAAAGAGACAAGGAATGGTCATTTTCCTGATCGGCCACGGCACAGATTCGGTTTTCCATACAAGCCATATCTGATCATTCATTCACCAGGGACTTTTTGTTGTTTCCTCAGGTTTAAAGCCATGTAGTTCCCATGTGGGAGCACTTTGCAGTGAAATTCTGGTGTTTTGATTTGTCTTGTTATTTAGGAAAGAAAAAAACGAATGAGAACATACTCTGGCATTTAGGAGAAAGTGGCAAATGAAAACAGGTGGCAGCAAGTCTTTACGTTGCTGGAAAAATGAGACTCAGAGCACCCTGAGTCCAGCGCCAAGCTCGCTGCAAGTGGAGCTGGAACCCCCTGATGCCCCAGATGCTTCCAGTCACCTCGGGACCCTGGCTCTGTCCACCACCAGTGAAGTCAGGTTCTAACCCATTCCCTCATCTCTATGACTCAGGCCAGAAATAAAATGCCCACAGTTAGTACCAGTTTTGGATAATGAGACTTGAAACCCAAAAACGGTTTCAGTTAACCCTGAGTCTGCAAGCCCCAGGCTGGGTTCGGATCCACTGGGTCCAGTCCTAGTCAGGCCACAAGCAGCTGTGGGACGCTGGCCTCTGCTTCCTCGTCTCCAGGAAACAATGGTCCCTGCGGGCTCCCGGCGGGGAGATGCACAGTCAGGATGCATGCTCCTGTGCTTACAGGAATGGCCAAGAGAACCAAAGCAGCAGGGCAGGGGAGGAAGGGCAGCTCTCCAGCAGAGTGGCTTCCAGGAGGGGTTTCCTATCCAGGGCAGCTGCGCACAGGGAGTGGCCGAGGATGACGGGGCTCCAGGGAAGGCTTGGAAAAGAGAACGCTCTACCGCTTGGAACCCAGCTCTTCCCTTCCAGAAATTCTACCCACTATTGAAATTTCCTGGCTACTGAAAGGAAGTGAGAATCTTGGGATACTCAACATTTCTGCTCCTCTCACAAGCTACAAAGCCCCCATTTAAGGGGCACATTCTCTGGCGGAGCTCCCTCGAATGCTTTTTACCCACTAAATCTGCCCTACGACTCTCTAAGGTAAAGAAAAGGGTTATTTTCCTCTTCACAGGTGAGGTCAGGAACCTGCCTCGAGTCACACAGCTACTAAGGAGACCCAAACGTGAACAGACCAGGCTCAGCACACTCCTCAGACTGGCCATTTTAATCCCCACATTCCTTAGGTTAGAGCATCAGTCAGGTTTTAAGACAGCTGCTGAAATGTGCAAATGTCACCCATGTTCTCAAAGAGAACAAATTTCGAGCTCGGAACACTGTGGGGTCTCGTGTTCTATATATTCTTACACAAATAAACAACCTTACAGATTTCCAAAGCTTCCAATGCACTAAAAGCCTGAAAATGTGTTTGGTTATGTTAATTACTGGGGTATCTAGGCAAAGGCCATGTAGGCGTTCGCTGCTCTTTCAATTTCTCTGAAGGTTTGGAAAATTGTTTCTTGCACGTGCATATGTCAACTTGGTTTTTGGAATTAGCACAGGCTGGTGGGAGTTAGTACACAGCACAGACAAATGAGGGGCCAGAGTCCTCTAAGAAAAGGCTCAGTAAAAACAAGCCAGGGAAGCACAGGGAGCAGCCGACCGGTCCCTCACCTCTTTCTCTGAGGGCCTGGGAGCTGGTGCTGAAGACATAGCTCCTGCCCTAGGGGGCTCAGTGTTTGGAGAGGAGGAGTGAGAAAACAGATAAACATAATACACTTTCATAAGCTCAGAGGTGAGCCCAGGGCCTGCGTGGGGCTGAAGGGATGGGGTAGGGGCTGGGGCGGGTGGGGAAGGGCTTCTGCAGGAGGCGCCCTGAGCTGTGACTGCAGGAAAAGCGCGTGGGCAGCGGGGGCTGTCACTCCCAGCCCTCGGAGGCCACAACTGATCTTGCCCAGATCTGCTTCTGTGCAGGGGGATGGAGGGTGGGAGGCACGTTGCCCTGTGTGGAGAAGCAAGTGGAAGGTGAAGGAACATTCTTTTCGGAAGTTTGACTGAGAAAAGGAGGCGGGAGACACAGACAGGCTAGGAAGGGGAAGAAGGAGAAAGAAGGCTCACTGGCACTGTCACTGGGGTGGGGACACTGAAGTGTGTGGCAAACCCCTGTAACTTGGAGTCAGAGAGGTGAGCAGAATGAGTTTCCTTGAAGCTGATGCTGACCACTGTCACGCTGGGACCACCCCAGAGAACCCACTTCCCACAGGGACCAGGGGCGCGCTGGGGCGGCCGCTCTTCTCCGGTCTCAGCCCGCGCTCAGGCCCCACCAGCCCCTACATTCAGTGCCCTGCCCTTGTTCCTGTCTCAGGGCTGCTGTGGACATCTGGGTGCCCTTTCCCGGCATCCTCCTCTCCTTCAAGTGACAAACCCAGAGGAGCCTCTGGGGAGATGTTCTTCCCTGAGTCACATGGGGCTGACCCCAAACTCCAGCCCAGCTCCAGCTGTGGGCCCATCACCCAGCCCAGGACAGTAAGAGTCGATCCCAAGACTTTCCTTCACCTCGGGAAGAAGCAGCTTTCTTTCCACAGGTGGCCCAGAGACGCGCTATAAGCCTAGGTCTGCCAGTGCCCAAGAAGAGGCCCCCAGATTAACGTCAACTGAGAGACGACAGCAGTGCCAGGACAGAGACACTGTTTCCCCTGAGATCATTTTAAGCCCCTGGATCCAGCAGTGCCTGAAGCTGATACTTAGCAATTGAGAACTGGGTTTGGCTCTCATATGTGACTTTTAGAGGTCGGGTTTTTAAAAAATACTAACCATGATAGAGGTGGGGTAGGTTAGGAAAGGAAATTATTGGTGTGGATTCCTAGAAATCACCCCAGGATCCTTAAGCCTAATACCCTCAGAGGTTCAGAAGGCCTGGCACACCCTATCCAGGCCTTAACGCTCTCTCCCGGGCCCTGCTCCTGTCCGGCACTTCATTCAGGATGAAGTGGCTCTTTCTCACTTGGCCTTGTTTTGAAGGTGCTTTAAAAGGACTTATTGGATTATAAACTGAAAACCACCCCACCACCATGCCAAAAGTCAAACATCTGGGAGGTCAGGAGAGGGAAGGACTGGAAAAAGTGCAGGAGGGCACACCTGGAGCCGATTATAAAACCATCCACAGAAATGTTGTGCAGAGGTGTGGGGGCCGCCGGGGGAAGCCTCACTTCTGCCAACAGAGGCGCCTGCTGCGGGCGAGACATGGGACAGATGCAAAGCCGGCTGAGGATGGGGACGTGCCACCTCCTCATCCCCAGAGCAGGGTCCTGCTTGTCAGTAGGGGGAGGGCCGAGGGAGGTGATCTGCAGGGTGGGCGGGAGAGGCCGTGGAGGAGTGAGTGTGGACAAGGAACAGGGGAGGGGAAGTGAGAGAGGCAGGCTGTGGCTCACTGGTTCCTCTAGAAAAGGCCAACAGCGGGACTGGGAGGAACATGCCAGTCAGTGCAGAGCTGGCGACCAGCTCTCTGAGCAAAGCAGCCTAGATTTACGGTGCCTGTCGCTATGCCAGGAGTAAATGCATCCCCGTGGTGGATTTCAAGTTTTTCAAGTAATCCACCTGAGCTCAGTGAAGGCAGAGCTGGGAAGAGATGCAGTCAGCTCTACCATCCACAGACTGCCACCAGAGCACTCCCAGGACTTCTGAAGGCACCTGTCTTTGCTTTGGAGGTCCCAATCTGGAGCTGAACTGGTGAAATCTCACACTGTCACGAGTTCAGGGTCTGGGCATGGGGGGCTCTGATGGCCCCAGAAAGAATAAACTTCACGTGCCAGGCTCTGCTGTGGCCGCCTCCACGGCGGCTGCCAGCTTCCAAGAACTGTAAATACAGCTTTACAACTGCCATCGGCCCCTGGTCTGAAAGCCAGCACTCCTTCGTCAGGGCAGTCTGATCGTGGTGACAATCTCACGTATTTTGCAGCGGGAGGAAAACTCAGAGGCAGAATTACAAGGAGATCAGCAGTTCCAAGAAGTATGGGAATCACTTCAAAACTACTGACTCTGGTGTGAGTAATTTGGTCAGCAAGATACAACCTTTGCAGGGCGCTGTGGTCCATGCTGAGAAATCGGGACTTCCTGCGAAAATCAGAATTTAGCACCTGACACTCCTTCCAAAGGGCAAGACTGCAGCCTCAGAGGGTGTGTTGGAACATCAAGGTCACTGCTGATGGTGAATAAACAGGTTCAGTGTGGAGTGTGATGAGAAAACCACCTGTGGGGCCGTGTCAGCTCCAGGCAGCGAGAAAGCGGATCACTCCTGGCTTGTCTGCAGGATCCCCCACCCCAGAGCGAGCTTCACAAAGCAGGGTTTGCGAGAAGCAGGGAGGCCAAAGCTCTGGGGCCCCTTGCGTGCGTGAGTCCTTTCCAAGGCCCTATATATAATGTAACCTTTTTCTTACAGAAGGCTCCCCCAGATTAAGTACATTTTGCATCCTCTAAGCTCCCGTTCCTCTCACTCCTTGGGCATCAAGGGTATATGGAAGTTTTCTTCATCTGTAAGCATTTTGAGACTTGTTTGGATTTAAAATCAGGATTTGGGGGCCTCGAAACTCAGCAGGGGTTATTAAGATGATGACAAATGCTCTGCTTTGATGGAGAAACACTGGAGTTAAGAACAAAGGGAATTTCTGAGCGACTTGATTCTTCTACCTGTGATGTCTGAAGTTCTGATTTGGGGAGGAGGTTTTCGCTTGCTGATCCTGCTTCGGCCAGAGGTTGGATGTTTTAAACTCTGTCTCAAATAGAACAGTGCTTGTGTTTGTGCATTCTGCTAAGAAGCCATCAGAAGCCTCTAGGCAGTTAGAGCAACTGTCTCGGGCGAGGATGGGTACCCACCCTCCCTTGCTACCTCCTCGACGACCCGGAACGTGAGGCCACGTGGCGAACGTCTGTTTCCATCCGGGCCCTTCTGTCTCTCTGTGGACATTTACACATTGTCCCTGGGCTTCCGGGCACTGTGGGAGAAGCCTGTAAGCCTTTCCCAGGAACAAAGAGGGGGCGTTCCTGCTGGGAGGGCCCAGCTCCTCTTTGGAGCTGGCTGGAGGCAGAGGCAGGAGGTCAGACCTGCCCACACGCCCTCCTCGTGCACGTGAAGAAGCCAGGCTCCTTTCTGTCTCTTTCCCGCGTAGATTCCACTGGACGACTTGACCCACATTCAACCTACTTCTCGTCCTGGCATGGAGTCAGCTCCTTTCATTTCCACTCGGAGTTCTGCCAGCTCCATTCTCAGCTCTGGATGCAAACTGCAGAGGCATTTCCTGTTCCAGGTGGTTTTGAGCAGAAAGCCAGGCAGCGTGGGTTGAAGGTAGGTGGGGTGAAATTCTTCAGGAACTGCTCCCAGCAAATGTGAGAGCAATTCAAAGTTACACAGGGTTGACTTCCAAAGCACCCAGCCCCGAGTGGAAACAAGGCTCGCGGGAACTAACTTTAGAAATACAACAGTCGTGGACCACCTTCGGATCTCCCTCGTGCACACACCAGGCCCTGGAACACTGGGATTCTGATCTGTGGATAAGATAAGGTGGCAGGGGCTGGCTCCAACCTCCCAGGGAGGTCCAGTGCTTCCGGGGGGCTGAGCATTCGCCCTGAGACATTGAACCACTCTCCTCAGAATGGAGGTCGGCTTCTCTGAAATCCACACACCAAAGTTGGTTTCCAAAGGGCAGGTTTCACATGTGTCCTTTGATGAAAAACCGCCCCCATCAATTGATCTCTGACCACAATTGAGGCCTCAGAGGAATGCTGGGAGACTCTGCCCTGCAGGAGGCCCAGAGGAAGTGAGGAGCTCCGACAAGCTACTGACCGCCTACAGCCTCAGTTTGCTCCTCCGTGAAACAGGCATGACCATACTCTGCAGTACAGTTTCTAGGCGGGAATAGGGGGTCAGGCTTCAAAGCACTGCAGGACTCAATGACTGGGAGTCACTAATGTCAATGTCCATGCTATCATTTGCACACGTGGTCCTCAGGCTTCCGGAGCTGAGAAGGACCATCACGAGAGCCAGCTCCCCTGGGTGGCATCCTGTCACTTGTTGGCCCTAAGATGGGTTCTGGAGAAAAGTCATTTTCCGTACAGCAATTAGATGTTGAGTGATCTCAAGGATTCTGACATCCCTCTGTCATTCTTCTTTCACACAGAAAAGCTGAAGTCAAGGGAACATTTCTATCTTCCCCAGATACCTGGGGCTGGAAGGAAGGTGCTAGGAAGTCTCAAAATTTACCTGCAGGGCGCCTGCTGGTGCTTTAAGGCAGAACCAGTGAGCCGACTTTGGAAGTGAGCCAGCACCTGGGGCACTGGAATAATGAGTTTTGAAGAAGGGTCAGAGGCAATGTCAGCCTCCCACAGAGACCCAGTGCCTCCAGGGAGCAGAAATGGCATCTCCAGGTAGAGAGGGAGAGCCAATGGACCCGTTGGAAAGGGTAACTTTGGGGGGCGACACTGGGTGATGGGGCTTCCGAAGCACGTACTGGTAAAGTCGCCCCCATTCCCTTCGGTGGGCAGAGAGGAGGCAGGCTCTTTGAGAATTTAGTAAAAAAGCTGTCCCTCTGAATAAGCTGCCAAGAGCAGCACAAAGCCCCATTTTGGAAAGGATTTAGAAGCACTGTTCTATTTGTAGAGTGACAGCTGGGACAACTGCAGAGAAGAGTGCCAGGCTGGACCAGGCCAGCTTCCAAGCCAGGAGGTGGGCAAAACCACAGGGCTGATGAAGAGAATGAGGGTGTCAACCTGAGGGACGGCAAGGTGCTAATCTGGCAGCGGCCACAGCAGTGGCTGTTACAGCCTCAGGGAGGCAGCTGGATGGACAGCAGGTGGGAGAGCTGGGAGGAGGGGGCAGGGCTGCCTGGGACACGTAGGGACCCCCAGGGGGCCACCTGCCTGTGAGCCTGGTGTGGCTACTTAGAAACAAGAGCTTCTGTGCCCACTTCTGCCTCTCTCCGAGGCAGGTGTGTGAGGATTATCTTAGTATCTGTAAGTGGCTCCTAACCCTTCAATGACAGGATGGCAGTCTTCACTGTCAACTTTCCTGTTAGAGGTTTGTTTGGCGTCATCTTATTAGACTGTGGGTTTTTCAAGTAGAGATCATTTATAAAAAGACTTATTTTTGTATCTACAGAGGCAGGATTTTGGACAAAGGCATGGGTTTGAAAACATCAAGTGATACATGAAAAAATGCTCAGTATCGCTAATCATCAAATCAAAGCTACAATGAGGTATCACCTTACACCAGTCAGAATGGCCTTCATTCAGAAGTCCACAAATGATAAATGCTGGAGAGGGTGTGGAGAAAAGGGAACCCTCCTTGATTGCTGGTGGGAATGTAGTTTGGTGCAGCCATTATGGGAAACAGTATGGAGATTTCTCAAAAGACTGAAAAACAGACTTATCATATGACCCAGTAATCCCACTCCTGGGCATATATCCAGAGGAAACCTTAATTCAAAGAGATACATGCACCCCAATGTTCACAGCAGCACTATTTACAATAGCCAAGACATGGAAGCAACCTAAATGTCCATCAACAGATGACTGGATAAAGAAGCTGTGGTATTATTTATATAATGGAACACTACTCAGCCATAAAAAAAGAATAAAATAATGCCATTTACAGCAACATGGATGGACCTGGAGAATGTCATTCTAAGTGAAATAAGCCAGAAAGAGAAAGAAAAATGCCATATGATCTAACTTACATGTGGAATCTTAAAAAAAAAAAACGGACTTATTTGCAAAACAGAAACAGACTCTCAGACATAGAGAACAAACTTGTTACTAGTGGGGAGGTGGGTGGGAAGGGATAAATTGGGAGTTAGAGATTTGCAGATACTAACTGGTGTATATAAAATAGATAAAAAACTAGTGCAGGGAACTATACTCGATATCTTGTAGTAACTTACGATGAAAAAGAATATGAAAACAAATATGCTCATGTATGACTGAAGCTTTGTGCTGTCTACCAGAAATTGACACAACATTGAAAACTGACTATAGCTCAATTAAAAATATATACATATATACAAAAAAAGAAAATATCAGTGATAAAAGTTGAAATAAAAGCATTTCATGAGTAAACTTCATTTTAGTCAAAATAACTGAATTCTTAAGGTGGCAGCCAGAGAAATATCATGTTTTACATTTAAAAAAACCCAAAAAACTCAAACAGCACCTTGCAACACAGATGCGGGATCACAACATGAGGAAGCTCAGGAGAGGGGTGCCCGGGTAGGAGGTCAGCCACTGCCAGTATGAAATTTAACCCAAGACAGGAATGTGGGGGTACGGCTGGCGGGGGAACATGGGTTGCAGCATGCCCCACCCCAATGAACTCGGAGCAGAGGCAGGCCCTGGGCACCCCCCTCTACGCTGGCCCTGTGGCAGCATTAAGAACAGTTACGTGTCAGCTCAGCACTGGATCTACCCTGGTGACCTTTGTGGGGGCCGATGAAGAAGGCAGGGAATGAGTCTGAACGCATTCAGAGGGTTTCCTGTGGCTGAGAAGGGGTTAAACTAAATGACTCTTCCTGGGCTTTAAGTGTGGTTCTGTCGAAGGCAATGAAGACGTTCACTGGACTAGAACTCAACCCTTCCATAGGAAGAAACGGGTGTTTACGTCTTAAGTCAATGGAGTTGGCCACTGGGAATTTGGGGTATACAGTACTCAGTGAAAATCAGTGCTCTTTTGAGTTTCCATTAGATTGAGAGCTATTATTCTTTTTCCAGAGAAATAGTCATCACCAGAGCCACTGACCACCTACAGGGGCTCCCTGCAGGTGGGGTGATGCTCTGCTGCCACCCAGGCTGAGGCTGCTGAACATTTCTGGGATTACTTTGGGGGACTTACACTCCCCCAATTCCTCACAACTTCTTTCGCTCCCTCTTCTGTCTCCTTCCTTCCTGTCCAAAGCTGGTGGTTCCTCCTGACCCCTCCCCTCACCTCTCATCCACTTTGGGGGTGGCTACACTTTAGCCAAACATGAAAGCACTGTTTGGTCCACTCTGATTACTTATGTTATCACACCTAAAACTGGAATGTAAATCCAATGGCCCAAGAGCATTCTTCAGCATTTTGCTGAACCAGATTACCAGTCTGACTATCCAAATCAAATTTCAGAACATCGATCGTGAGTCAAATCATTTTTGTTTTACCCAGAAAACTGTGGGCAGGTTTATCCTCCACCACACGGATCCTTCGAGCTCCAGCTGGGATAACAGCAGCTTCAATATAACCTGCAGTGACGAATTACACACAGGTGAGTCACACATTCACCCTGCACCAGAGGCCCCACAGCTTCCCCCCCACCTCCATAGTCCCCCTCCCCGCCCGAAGGTGATTTCAGAGCCGCGGGGCTAGCAGAGCTGTGAGAAATCAAGATGGTCGAGTAACAAGGAGTGTTCTTCTATGGCCAGAATCTCCTGGCTTCCCTAATTCCAAAGAGCACCATTTGCATGTGTGATGAGTTGAACTGTGTCCTTCCCACCCCCACATTTATATGCTGCAGTCCTAACCCCCAATATCTCAAAATGTGACTTTATTTGGAAACTGGGCTGTTGCCGATGTAATTAGTTCAGATGAGGTCATACTGGAGTAGGGTGGGTCCTTAATCCAACATGACTGGTGTTCTTATAAAAAGGGGAACTTTGGACACAGACATGTACCCGGGGAGAATGCCACGGAAACATGAAGCAGAGATCCGCACGGTGCATCTACAAGCCAAAGATTGCCAGCACACCACCACCAGAAGCGAGGAGAGAAGCATGGGGCAGGCTCCTCCTCACCTTCACAAAGAACCAGCCCCGCCCACAGCATGATCTCAGACTGCTAGCCTCCAGCACTGTGGTGCCTGCCACCCGGTTTGTGTACTTGGTTACAACCGCTCTGGCAAATGAAGACAGCCTGGAATTCGGAGTGAACAGCACTTCCCTGGAGCATGGGTGTGGGACGCCCCTGGAGGCTTCATCTACTGGACTCCTTGGCTCTCTGTTGTATTTTGTACTTTCCCTGATTCTAGGGGAGGCCAGCAGAAGCTGGGCTACCTGCCCTGTGACAGAGCCAATGCCACAATGCTGTGTATCATTTCCCGTTTTCACTGCCCTGGGGGCATTTCTGCAATGATCACAGTATGTACTTGTGTCCATTTCCTTGAGTATTTCCAAGTGTACTGGGGTCCCCCAGAGGCCAGGGCCTTCTGCCCATGCTCTGACCCAACACATGCCCAGAACAGCAGGTGGTCAGCGGAGATTTGGGAGGAAATGACTGAGGCTGCCAGGCAGGCGGTCAGTGGCGGGCCGATGGCTGGTTAACTGGGCAACTGTGTCAATTAATGGGCCTAGTGTTATGGTGAGATTCTGAAATGCAGGCTGGTGATCATTTTGTTTTGATTTCCATTTGGGTTTTAGACAAGGGTGATATAGGTTTGCTTCGGCAATTTAGATGATGGTCCCAAATTAGATTATGAATGTTGCCTCTGTGGTTCCCAAATGCGTTCATCAGAATCAGCAGGGGAGCTTTAAAAATGAGAGATTTCTGGGCCCAACAATGTAGAGATTATGGAAATATATATTTTGAGAGGTTTATTTCCTCCTTTTCTCACAGTAAAAATGGCTTTACTTTCAATATAAATACAGTAGATGATAATCAAACCACAAAAGGGATAAAACTAAAACCAACCTATACAACACTGCACTGAGAAAATTACCCTTAAGAAAGTATTATTTGGGTGACCAGCCTTTTCAGCGTCTTCTTAATGCATGTAAACACACTCACACCATTTTAGGCAAAGAGGATATTATACGTGGTTTTAAAAGATCCAGGACAACTTTAAAATAAAGTTTTGCTGAGCAATATGTGCCCAAGGTGCAAAAATTCAAAAGCTATTAAAGGATACAGTAGAAAGTATACTGATCTTGTAAGATACAGCCTACAGTTGGCCATCTTTCTTAGACTCCTGTCATTTATAGTAAGTCGCCTATTTCGGCTGGGTTTCTACACAGGTAACTGAAATGTGTCCACATGTCAGTTTTGTTTCTTCCTTTCTGAACTTTATGCCTTGAATTTCTTCTCTTTCCATCATTGTGGTGGAAACTTACAAAACCATGTTGTGTGCCACATGGGAGTGGCATCCTCGTCCCATTCATGATGCTCACAGGAATCCTCAAAAAGCGTCCCCGCTGAAAATGGTGTCGGCTGTGAGGATGCGACCGGGTATCATTTACTAGCAAGTTTCCTCTCACCACAGTTTGTTACGAGCTTTTGTTATGAAGAGGTACTGAAGCTAATCAGGTGCTTTTTTGCATCTACTGAGATCATACTGTTTTTCTCCCAAACAAAACAAAGACCTCAGTGCAGCTTACCCGTCATCACACCCGTCATGGCTAATATGGTGTGTGGGTCAGTATCTTAGCGTCATCCTTCTTTCATCACTACATTTTAGCGAATCATGATTTCTTTTTTATTCTGATGTTTTCCCATCAACCTTTGATTACATTCACACCTCTGTTATGGGACTTACCAGCCATAAGTGAAATATTTTAATCTCTGGATATTAAAAGATGAGGAAATCAGAGTAACTACATTGCCCTTCACTTTCCTACATCCCACTCCAACTTTCACTATATCGTTCCCTACACTGTGTTTGTTTATAACGTTTATCTTTTGCTAAGATAACTCCTGCAGTTATTTCAGTTTGGGTGTGTGGTTTCTTTCTGGGATGACCATGGTCATGGCTGCACAACTCTGTGCATGTATTTAAACACCCCGAATTGCACACTTTATTAAGTGAATGAATTTTATGGTGGGTAAACTGTATCTCTACAAAGGTGCTGAAAGATGGTTATGCAACGGACAGCTCTGTATGTGTCTTCTTGAGCATAGGTACAGTGAATTCCCGGGCCAACTGTGAGCGTTGCATTACTGGTTCAAACATACACGCAGTTTAAATTCTCAACGTACACCTAAAGTACCCTCCATAATGGCTTGACTAATACAGAAGTCAACCAACACTACATGAGAATACATGTTTATTTGCAGACGTCTAAGCACTTGATATTATCAATCCTCTTAATATGTGCTAATCCAAGAGGTGAAAAAGAGTTACGACATAGACTTAACTTGCATTTCTCTCGTTACGCACTTACTGGTCGTTGCATCTCTTCTGCAGTTAACTGCCTGGTTCCTAAGTGTTGCCCTTTTTCCCACTGGCTTTTGCTTTTATTTGATAAACAGCAGTCTTAAAATATATTTTACTAACTATAACATCTAATATATTTTGGACTCAAGCCCTTTATGTACTAGACTTACACATTTTTTTTCTGTCATTTGTCATTTTTTTCTTTATGGTGACTTTCATCACAAGGTTTAAAAAATATTCTATTTATTTATTTTTGATTTCTTTTTTGTTTTTGTTTGGGGGGGCGATTAGGTTTATTTATTTATTTTGATGGAGGTACTGGGGATTGAACCCTGGACCTCACGCATGCTAAGCACACGCTCTACCACTGAGCTATACCCACCTCCGTTATCGCAGGGTTTTGACAGTCATAGTTTTACTATTTGAGAGCTCCTTTTTGTTTTCTGACTGCTTCTTCCCATGGCATTCTGCACTTGTTTTATGGATAAAAATCACTTCTCAAATCTTTCTAAGAATAGTTACTAGAGATTTTAAACTCCTATTATTTGAGTTATCTTGCTTTTCCCCATGGGTCATCTTTTCGGGTTATCTTGGTCTGTCTCATTTGTGTGCAGACTCTTTTGAGAACAATGCCATAGATGGGGTGTCTCTGTATGCAGTAGCCCCTCCATACCCTCCATAGTTTGAGTTATCTGTGGTCAACCACAGTCTGAAAATATTAAATGGAAAATTCCAGAAGTAAGCAATTCATACGTTTTAAATCGCATGCTGTTCTGCGTAGCATGATGAAATCCTGCGCCACCCCACTCTATCCGGCCCAGGATGTGAATCACCCCTTTGTCCGGTGTATCCCATCCGTTAGTCACTTAGCAGCCATCTCGGTTGTCAGACCAATGGTTGTGGTATCAGAGGGCTTCTGTTCAAGTGACCCTTATTTTACTTAATGCCCCCAAAGCACTAAAGTAGTGATGCTGGCAATTTGGGGGTGCCAAAGAGAAGCTGTAAGTTACTTCTTTAAGGGGAGTGGTAAAAGTTCTCGACTTCAGCAAAGAAAAAAATCATATGCTGAGGCTGCTAAGATCTATGGTAAGAAAGAACCTTCTATCCATGAAAGTGTGAAGGAAAAATAAATTCATTAGTTTTACTGTTGGACCTCAAACTGCAAAATGTATGGCCAGTGTGTGATAAAGACATTAAATGCGTAAGGTAAGATATTCTGAGAGACATTCATCCATAATTCACATCAATTTTATTACAGTCTATTGTTATAATTGTTCTATTATAGTTATCGTTGTTAATCTCTTACTGTGCTTAATTTATAAATTAAACTTTACCACAGGTATGCATATGTAGAAAAATATAGTAGACGTAGCATTTGGTACTATCTGCGGCTTCAGGCATCCACTGGGGGTCATGGAGGTAGTCCCCCACGGATGAAGGGGCCTGTGGTTTCCGGATGGTCAGGACTGGCTTTCAGTTAAGGGGCAGGGGCTGTTTTTATGTGCTGGCAACCAAGACACCAGAGTGCAGAGAAGTTTGCTATAGGCGCTGTGTCGTGCTGCTGGCCACCAGACATTTCCAGTCTCTCTCTGGAATCACGGTAGCCGTGCAACTCCCTGCCCTCTTAAAACCGTGCAACCACGTGACTCACTCTGACCCTGAAGGTGTGAGTGAAAGCGATGCGTATGTAAGAGGACCTGATTTGCCGTGTTCCCTTCTTCCCGCCGAGGTGACGTAAACAGTAAAATCCCGTCAGTCTAGTTCTGTGAGCGGCTACTGCAGGCAGACTCTCCTGCCAACTCATGTCAGACATGCAGTGTGAGCGAAGAACACACTCTGGTGTCAAACCCCTGATTTGGGCGGATGGAGGCAGGCACTGTGTATTGTTTGTTTACTGCACAAAACCAAGTCTGTCTGTTCTGATTCAGCCAGGTCCGAACGTTCACCCGAGATGTCCTCGTTCTCCCTACACCTTTAAATGAGTTCCTGTTCATTCATTTTAGGGTGATCTTGGGAAGCCAAGGAGATCAGCACCTGTGTTCAACCAGCCATCCTGCAGGGTCCTTTAGTCTCGACAGCAAATGCTCTGGCACTGTTGCTACAGATCAGCCTCAGATGCTTACAAAGAAATGTTCTACTTGACGCTTAGGGAGATGTCACAGATGAAAACGTACTCCAGTTTGAGTCTGATCTGCTTGGGTTCCCAGGCAGGACGACTCCTTGAAGCAGCTGGGCTGTGGTCCTCCAGGTGGATCCCCTCCAAACGCTCGACTCAGGAACAGCGGCACTGACTTGCCCGGGGCAGCCCACACAGCCCCTCCTCTGTCTGGTCCTTATAGAGCAAGGTGAGGCTTTTGTTTATGTTATTTTTTTTTGATTAAAAATAGTTCTTGCTGTAAGAATGCTTCTTTACTTGGAAAATGTGACCACAAAAAAAAAAAAGCATCTTTGAGGATCATAGCACAGGATTACACACCACAAATTTCTTTTAGAGAAATTCACTCCTTCTGGAAGAGTTTGAAGACTTATTGGATTCCAGGTGTACGAGATAGTAAAGTGTCAAAAATGGAGACAAAATTGCTCGGGGTCAATGGCGATTAAAACCTCTGTCGGAGGAATCTCCATTTCAACCACAAAACTGACCTGGAAACAGGATCTGCTTGTGGGGGTTGAATAAGTCTCTGAAAGCTGCTGCTGTTACACGAACTCTTCCTACGTGGGAACTAACAAACCTTGGCGTTAGCATCACCAGGATGCAGAAGTAGACACACCCAAATAAGGTAATTTTCCACATTCCACAGCAAGGGGCATTTACAGTCAGTGCCTGCTCACCACGCCTATTTTTAAGCTTAACTTCGGCACAAGCAGCAACACTGAAAAGGCATCTGCTTCCTCTCCTTTCTCACGTACCCTCAGGGGCAGGGGCAGATGAGCAGTAAAGAGCTCAGGGGAGACGCGCAACTCAGGAGAGGCTCCTGCTCAGGTGACCCCTGAATAATAGGGCCGGGAGTAACTGGCGTGCCGGGCTCTGCTAACCCTTCCATCTCAGATGAGCTCTTCAGCTCGCCATATGGAGGGAACTAATGAACGAAAACCCTGAAATGAGAAACAAGCTCTCTGTACATAAACTAAGAAAACAACCTCTAAGTTACTGTCCTCTTTACGATGGCCCCTACCCTACCCAGAGCACAAAGCCACCCCAAGGATGGTGAGAAGGGGGACCAGCAAGGGAAAGACTCCCATCACCAAGTCCCAAAGCACCCTGTCACCCCTCATACCAGATGTCCCCCATGCAGATGCCAGACACCACCAGGTTGATGGGGAATGAAATATAATTAAGGGGGGATTTGCTGTAACAATTCACAAGACAGAGTCACACTTTAGGTAAGACAGCAAGACTTTATCGTTGGAAAAATTTTCCATTCTAGTCTCTGCCATCTAGCAGGAGAAATCCAGTTAGAGCGGCACGATTTGGTTTCATGAGGAAGCCACGGATAAAATTCAACACTGTTGCCATTGCTCTAAGAGAGCAGGTCATTTTTGCCATAAGGACAAGCAATCAGAACGAACTTGAAAGGGATGTTGGCTTTACACCTGCCTCAAATCTTCTGAAGAATTAATATCACCAGGCTACAAGCACACCTCCCTGCAAAATACTTTTTGTCTGAATTTCCCAAGTAGACATGCTTGTAGTTGACTTGGCCACATTTTCCCCTTGTGTTTTCAGTAGCATTAACTTTCTTTGGCAGAAAACCATTCAGCTAGTAAGGGGCCATGATGGAAACAAGTAAAACCCTGGCTATGAGGACTGGAACATTTTCACAAGGTTGTATCAAAAAAATATATATATATAAATATATATAAACAAAGTCCCTTTTTTGGTAATAATCTTTAAAAATGCCTGGGGAGGCTTTTGTGTAAGTTTACAGTTTTCTCTTTTTACAAAAATCATTTATGAGAATATCACTGTCCTTACATTTATCCCTAAAGGTTGTTCTGGTTCCAAATGAAAGTTACTTGGGAAGCCCACGAGACTCGACTGATACTCTGGTTCAGCTCTCTGAATGCGAGGTCAGCACAGGTGGGCCAAAGCGAGGCCGCGACCTTTATCTCCAGCATGAAGACCAGGAGGGTCTTACCAAATGCCCTCTGTGCTTTGGGAAACCCAACCCTGTAATATGGAAACTGGCTTATAAAAGTGCCATGTGTGGCTAAATTCTCTGGCACGACTTAGCCCTTTCTGCCTGAGCTCCAGGTGGGGTGAGGAGAATGAAGACGTATCTCTGGCACGCTATCACGTGTTTCTGTCTGGCCTCTAATTCCATGCCTCTTCATCTTTTATAGCTCTAAAATTGGTTTTATTCTACATTTTTTCTTTTTGGCAATCGGCCTTAAACATCAATTACACATCAGCGACAAACGGCTTCAGTGTTAATCCATGGCTTCGTGCATGACTCATCCCACCACTGACTCTCCTCCGAAAACACTCAGGCACGCAAGCGAGGAAAAGCCCCACACCAGGCACGTCACCGCTAGTTCTGCACGTCACAGCCAAACCTCTTACATGAGAAACACTGGGGAACGGCCTTTGCCATCACGCAGGTGGACACCTTCGTACAAAGGTTATTCTTGACTGAGAAAAAGAAATAGGTTGTAATTGGTTTACATGCACATTTCAGGAACTGAGACTACAGCTCTTAATCATAGTGCAGAGAGAGTCATGTGTCACCACCACATAGTGGTACCTTTCCCCACGGAACCTCCCTACCCCACACCTAGACACAGGGGCACAGAACGTGGCATGTGGCAGAGGCTCTAAAGGTAATTATTGAATAAATGTGTGATGTGTGGATCTAACCACATTCAAAAGGGATCAATCACATCACCTTCCCTTTGAAGAATCAATTGTTTGAGAAGGTTCTCTTGAAGATTCAGAGCCCATGGGGCACCATGGCTGGTTCTGGGGAGAGAATTCAGTCCAAGTATGTCCTGGGCTGGGTGGCCATGGACCCCAGTCACCTTTCTCATGCTGAGGAGCAGCATAGAATTAATCATGTGGAAATGACAATCCAGTGAATGAAACGAAAGCATCATACTAAGAATTTTCAACTTACTAAGTTAAAAAAAAAACTTTCAACTTGACCAAAAGCTTGGGCACTTTGAAGCCCACCCATCACAGAAGTAACAGGCCAGCCAGTTCAAGTCGATTCCTCCTACAGCTGAGAGGCCAAGGGCCTCATTTGTTCAAAGTCAGGAGGCAACAGGCCAGAGGCTCAACCGAAGCTCAGGATGGTCCACGTCCCTACTCACTGCACTGGGACCTCTCGAGGACACCAGGGTGGGACATCCTGGGGTGCGGACACTGTCCCTGTGTGGGTCTGCTCTGCACTCCCAGCTCAAGTACTTGGGTGAAAGGACCCAGAAGAGTTCAGGCAAGGGCCAGGACTTGATCTAAGTGGGCAAAAATCCTGCATTTGATTCTGTTTTCTCTTTCTGGACAGTATCTTCTTTGACATTCACCCTTGGGGTGATGAGGCATTCCTCCTCTCCCCATCTTTCAAGCTGGGCCGAGATGAAAGTTACCTTCCAATCTACACCGACAGGATTTGCGAATCCATCCAGCCGCGCTTGGGGTCACCTACACGTCACATCACCTGGGGGCTTTACACCATTTCCAGGTTGGGCTTCTTCCTTCAGCCTAAATGTCCTTTCCCCACCTCTACGGTCAGTTCATTTCGACTTGTCCTTTAGGGCTCGGGGGCCACCCTCATCTGCCCACAGGCCCAGGCGAGGAGCTCCACTAGAATTTAGGGTCCCACAGCACCCCACATTGAGCGGCTTCCACATCACACAGGGACTCAAGCTGCCTGCCTGGGGTGGGGGGTCCCCGCCCTCGACTGGGGCCGACTTGGTGACAATTAACTTTTATATCTGGACACCTCATGCTTAAAATGCAGTGGTGCTAAATAAATGTTTACTGGGTGGCTGGACGCATGGGTGACCACGTGCCAGTGCCTCTGTGCATTCCAGAACATCAGACCAGGATTACAGGTCTGTGTTTGATGAAACTGTATTAGACAGTGATTCATTCAGGTGTGAGTGAGCATTCTATGCACGTCTTCAATAAACAGAATCCACACTGACGTGAGCTTATGCTCACAGACCCCAGCCCAAAGATTTGGAAAAAAACAGCTTCAGACTTTAACATGAAGATGTGACATCTGGCAACCATTCAGAAGGTCAGAACTTTTATAGGTGCGTGAGGCTACCTGTGCTCATCTTTCCCTGAAGGTTTGCTAAAGCTTCTGTGCCCAAGAAGCAGGAAGGAGCACTAAGCCACACGCCAGGATGGGGACCACTACCCCCACCAGGAGGTTTCCAGCACTGTCTGCCATGCTACAGCCCCACTGGCCGCCACAGCCCCAGAGGCCTGATCTCCCCAGAAGGATGGCTACACATTCATACCCATCTCCCCCCTGGGTATGGTGGGGCCAGGAACAGGGTGGGATGGAGGATGGACAGCAGACAAAAAGGTCACTGCTGAGATCGAAGGAATGGATCTGCTCATGCCAAGGTCAAAGGCCAACAAACTGTTTAGACTCTGGGGAAAAAAAGAGAATTGCTTTTGCCCTGAATGGGTTCTCTTGAAGTCAGCGGCTAGGTCCCATACAGTTTTCAAAGTTTTCAAAGGTGTGTGGTGGAACCTTCCTTAGTGTTCTACAGAATTGCCCAAGGGGCTGAGGTTATCACGGCTCTGCTCCACCTGCCTTCCACAGAAGGAAGCTGTTGTAGTCAGCTCAGTTTATTGGAGCTTAGCACAACAATCAATTTAAATAAAGGGTCTAACGCAGCCTTGAAAAAAAAAGTCAATAGCAAACACTTGCCAGCTGCACAGCTCTTGTTACCAGCTGCCCTTGCTGAACAGTTGCAGCAGGCAAGATCCAAGTCTCACGGTGCAAACACAGCCAGTGGCATCACACATGTCAAGAGAGCAGCCGTGACCAAAGGTCCAAGAGAACGTTCTGCAATGATGGACAAGTTCTCTCTCGCCTGTCCAACACCGGAGCCCTGTCACGTGCGGCAACAGAGCACCTGATGTGGGACTCAGGGCTGGAGCTTTTAAACCTGTTTAATTTTAATTAATTATAATTAAAACTTGAATGGATTCAAGTGGCTGTGGCTACTGTACCGGACGGTGCACTTTCCCCAAAAATCGACGTGCTCAAGCACCAGCTTCCGTGGGTTTCCTCGAAGCTGCGCAGCAGATTCCCACATAAGCTTCCTGTTAAAGACAGGGTGGGCACCTGTCTTTAAAATCCTGAAACCAGCCCTTACTGGGCCTGAAATGTAGTTTCTAAATGTCATTTTGGACTTGCACTTGCCTCTGGTTTTGCTTTCACAGGAACCTGAGAAGCGTTTGCAACATGCTGCCCTTTCCACCAGGCGATCCAGAAGGAACGCTTCCTCTAGACCAGGTCTTCTATCCAAACAGAGAAAAGGATGACGTTCAATGACGTCTCTTCTCTGCCTTATCCCAGAGGCTGCTCCGTGGGACAGGGAGGACAAACCGGGATCCCCTCCTCTCCATGGGTGGAACTGGACTGAAATGCTTCTATCCAAAGCAAGTGCAGAAATTAGAACAGAAGCTTTTCAGCTCAGCTCCGCCCAACAAGTTATCTTGGGTTGCCTCACTCTTGGTGACGTCGGCTAAGGGGACACTCACTAAGGCTTCGAGGAGAGCTCACCCTGCCGCCTCATGCGCCCCTCGTTAGTATCAAGCAGATACTTCCCTGGACATCATAAGTGGGTGTCCACTGGAACAGGAGATCGAAAATCATCTCCCACCTCTGGCCAAAGCAGCCCACAGCTGTGAAGATGCTTCCAGGAGAAAGACTGCGAAGCCCTCAGCTGAACTCTGCAGGGCCTTTCTGAGCCCAGTCAGGGGAGGGCTGCGTCCTGGACGTGGGAGACAGTTACTCTGCGGTCACGCTCAGCAGAGGCATCGCAGACTTCCCGGAACATAAGGCTTCGTGCACGTTTTAGGGATGTGTGTAAAAGCTATTCTCCTTCCCGGACAGAAGGCTCAGAAACAGAGAAAATCTCTTCCATCTACAGGTAAAAACGACATAGCAAAGCGTCTTTGCACCGTGCACACGACAGCAGCCGGGCGGGCTCGCAGCGGCAGGGGAAGCCGGTCAGGCGGGGCAGCTGCTGTGTGATGATGGACCTTGGGGCTGAACCCTGACGCCACAGGCAGATATTCACTTCCCAGAACCTAAAGGCATCATTCTAGCTAAAATGTCTTTCTCTGCCTTTCGGAAACCATAGAAACAAAGTGCCGGGTCCGCTACTTATGATCAACTATCCCTTAAATATGAGATGCAGGGAAGACGTGAAACTGTGGGCTTTGGGGCAACACAATATATGAGAAAATTGACTTTGGGGCAATAAAATATACAGCACTTGTCTGTTGTCTGACCCAGCGCTCGCCGGGCCCCAGCAGCGGCCAGGGTCACCTCTCCTTGGCCCACACTCACCTGTGCCCCGGGAGTGGCTGAAGTCTCCCTTCACCACGCGGCAGGTCTTGCCGTCCCCGCTGCAGACCCCGCACCGGTCTTCTTTGGCCGCAGACCCAATGATGCCATCGCAGCCGATTTTCTAAACAACCAGAGGGCTGGGTTAGTCTGTGCGCGGGACTCACAGGGCATTTCGGAGATGACACCCTGCAGGGCTGACTCCTCCAGGTGGGCATCATGCCTGCGGGCTCACGATACCTTCAGAGGCCTGAGCAAATCTCTTTTGATTTATTTTAAAATCAGAAAAGGAAAAAATGAATAGAATTCAGCTCGTATTACATTTGTCTTTATATCCACAGAGTCATCAAATACACGTTTTAGTATTTGTTATGGAGGAAGGGGCCCACAAAGGCCACAGTGCCCACGGAAGTCACACTGAGGCCCGAACCCTGGCCCTTCCAGAGCCGCCTGAGGCGGGGGGAGGGGAGGGAGGGAAGCTGGCTCCTGTACCTCCTGGTGTGGCCGCAGCTTCCCTAGATTTGTATCCCCTTCAGAGCTGCGTGGGTTTTTGGATGGATCTCGGTTGGAACAGCCAACAGTTTCAGAAGAGACCACACTGACTTTTCTGCTGAAGTCGGGAAGCCCAGAGCTCACTGAGGCATGGCTGGGAAGGAACTCCCCATTTCTCAGTCGGGGAGATCTGGCCCAAGAAGAAACCCCACCAAATTTTCTCAACAGGCCATGTCTGAGAGGGGAGGAAGGCTGCCCCAACCCAGGGTGGCTCTGGGCAGCATAGCCACGTCATTCATAAAAAAGTGGGAAAAGGTTGTGAACTCCAGTTTTTCCCTTTAAAAAATGCACAAGAACTTTACAGTCTGCAAAACAACACACCTAAGTTTACATTATGGTAAACACTGGTATGTTGAATTATTTGCTAAATTGCTACCATGTCTCTCTGTAGTTCTGCCCGTCAAGAGAATAAATCTAGGACAAGAACGAGGTTTTCCCCTATACCCTGCATTGCATACTTGTGGTTCATGCTGCAAAGGATTCTACAGCCAGATAACCCAGGCCGAGGTGATTGTGCTCTTTCCTGTGATGTCTGGATGGGTGCTAGCAAGGTGTTTCCATCCTTACACCCTACTCGGACAGGAGCAGGGCACCGGGCAGAGCTGGCTGAATGGCAGACTTCCTGGAGGTGAATGCTTGGCCCCACAGCTCCTCAACTTAATCAGACCCCTCTGCTTTACAAAAGAAACTTGTTGTTTATCTGTTTTATATAAACTAGTTAATATTAGAAAAAGAATATGAAAACAAATATATATGTATATGTATGACTAAAACATGCTATACACCAGAAATTGACACATTGTAACTGACTATACTTCAATTAAAAAAAAAAAAGAACACCAGAAATGCTATCCTTGGGGAAAGGAGATGGGAGAGGAGAATCCACACTAGAATTTCAAAAGGCCACCTGCTGTCTGGCTGAGAGATCAGGGTGGGGAGGCAGAGCCTGCGTTTGAAATCTGCCAGACCAGGAATTCACCTGGACGCAGGAAGGACAGGCGTGCGAGGTGCTTCAGGGAAAAGCAGGACCAGGACTCACGGGAAGAAGGGCCTTTAGGATGAGATCACACACCTTCCTAGATGGGCAAACTGTTCCTCCTCCAAAGAGTCCCCTGAAAGAAGGATCTTGGTGGGAAAGAGGAAAGTGAGGAGGAGGAAGGGCAGTGGCCTACGTGCCTACAAAGCCCCTGCAGAGCCAGATGAGCACTAGGTGTCCTCCTGGCCCTGGGGCCCCGGCAGGAAATGCTGTTGCCTGCACAAGAAAGCAGAGGCAGGTGGGGGGGGGGCAATTTTCTCCCCTCACTGTGACTCTCAGCATCACTATTAAAACATGACATAAAGAACACACACACACTTGCTCTGTGGTGAGGCCCCAACCCACACTGAGTTAGACCACCCCGGATCCAAAACTTAAGCAGATGCAATGCTTGGAATTGATCCCCTTTTTTGGAAGGGGGATGAAGTCACCATCAGCTGGGAGCCCAGCAAGGCTCTGATGTCTGCGGGGCTGTGGGGCTGCGGGGCTGCGGGGCACACTGCTCGTCTGTGACACTTGGCCTGCATGTGCCTAACCTCGAACAAGGGACGTGTAAGACAGGAGAAGCCCATGGGGAGATGGGGTGGTGCACGGAGCACACGCTGTGACAGGTGCCTGAGGACGCCAGAGGTCAAGAAGAGGTCGCGCATCCATGACTCCCTGAAAGGGGGCAGCTCTCCTGCCCCTCCTGCTTCTCGCTGCTTTGTCTTGTTAATTTCACCTTCCTTAAACTCCAACACCCACTTGCACACTGACAGCTCTTACACCCAATCCTCTCCCTCCCACCCAGGCTCGCAGGTGCGTGTCTGCCGACAACCTCCCCGGACGCTCTGGCCCGGACACTGGACTCAGGGGGCCCACCAGCTCCTCTTCTGAAGCTGCTCACTCCTGACTTCTCAGTTCTCGAGGTGGTGCCTCCTTCCGCCCTCTTGGAACTGGCAGACACGGCACCGGAGCCTGAGACCTCCGGGCCATTCCGACTCTTCCTCTTCTTGCTGTGTTTGGTTAGGTGCCAAGCCTGGTGGTTTTGCATCCTGAAACGTCTCTAGTATCAATTTCCTCTCTGTGCTCGTGGCCACTGCCCAGTCTAGCCCCGCATCACTTTGCATGTGACCAATCACACCGGTTTTCTCCCCGCTGCTCCAGATCAGTCTTCACCTGGGAAGACGGGACAGTCCGTGACCATGTGCCCCACTGCCTATGGAATATGCTCACACTTCAGAACCCAAGGCCCTCCCTGGTCTCATCCAATCGCTCACCATCTCAGCTTCCCTCCCTCCTCCTCCTCCAAGTGCACGCTGAGTCCAACCACCGCCAGCTCCGCTCCTGTCAACCCATCACCTCTCAGCAAGACAAATCACGCCAGTGAATCCTGTTTCCCGGGTTCCAGTCAGGCCCCATCACCAGTTCTCTATAAACAAGCTCACTTGGTTCCCTGCTTCAACCTCTCCACTGCAGCTAGAATAAATCCAGATTCCCACCACAGTCCTCCAGGCCCTGCATGGCCTGGGTCCTGACACCTCTGCCCCACCAGCACCTGTCCTCCACCCTCCTGTTTCTGGAACACACCAGCCTGGCCCCTGCTGCCCTCTGCCTGGGGCATTCTGCCCCAACGTGTTCACCGGGCTGGCTTTCACACTAATGCTCTCTCCTCGGAGACACCTGCAACGCCACTCTGTCTCCCTCAGCGATAGCCCCGCTCCATCTCTCTCTGACATCATTTTCTTCCTTACACACACCAGTCCCCGGGATGATCAGGTTTGGGAGTTTATCTATTCCTTGTCTGTACATTGCACAGGGAAAGGGATCCCCTCGGTGCTGCTGACCACAGGGTGCCCAGCACACGTTACAGCGCCCCACACATGGAATGAAAGCTCTTTCCGCTCTAAACCCAGCCTCTCACCGGCTCTCAATGACGCCTTCGCCTGTGGTTATCGGGTTTTCACATCAAGTCTCATCTTCCCGACAGACTGTAAGCACGTGGAGGCGGGGTCTTACAATCCTTCGTATCCTTGTCCCCCGCCCCCAAACACAGCGGCCAGCATAGTGCCAAGCTCAGAATGGTAAAGAAATGCATAAAAACACTGAACTCTCATCAAGTTGGACGCAGGGTAAAAGTGAGGACAGAAGACTCTGGTTTTCAAAATGGGTCCTCTGCCTGTCTTCTGTGCCCCTGCTGGACAGCGACCCCTTCCTCCACAGGGCAGTTGAGTTTGCTCATTTTTGAACTGGGACGTCCTCATGCAGGTTTTGATGGTCCTTGTTTTTGTTTATTTTTCTTTATTGCTTTCTTCCTACCGAATAGCTACCTTCCGACGAATGCCTCCCGCTCTCTCTGCTGTTACAGGGATTCCACTGGCTTATTGTTTTATATTTAACTGATGCTTTCAGCCAGCAACAGGACCCCCCAACCCCACATCTCCTGGGCTCCTGGGTCAGCTCCACCAAGTCCTGCCAGGCTTGTCTTCCTTCTTCTGGAATTCACCCTTGTCTTGCTAAACTACATGTCACGGCTTCAGAATGGATGCATGGAAAATAAAATTTCTGAGTTCTCCCATGTCTCAAAATTCCTTTATTTCGCCTCCATGCTTGGTTGCTCATTTGGCTGCATACGGGATTCTGTAATTATCTCAATTTTCCGCCAGGATCACTTTTTGTTTGTTTTCCTTGGTCTTTCTCATTCCTGCTGCTGGTTTTCCTCAAAGAGCTGATGATCCCTGGTTGACCATTCATGTGTTTGAGAATGAGGCACAGAAGAGCCAGAGGGGGGCTCTAGCCGTGAGGGTGGCAGGCTTCCATTCAGGATGGTGGGAGGGAAGTGCTGTGTTCAAGCACCAATGCCACTCACCTGCCCCGGATGTCCCTCAACAGTTTATCACGCAACTTTGGGAAAGACTCTGAGGATAATTCCCTAGCAACTCATCAAGCTCCATGTGCCAGGCCAGGCGCGGTCAGGGATGTTGGCTCATTACTTGCAGCCAGCTCCTCTCTCCACCCTCTGCTCCCCTATCCAAGACTCCCTCAAGCATCTGGCGTTACTTCTGGTTGTGACTCTCCACTTGTTCCAGTTCTGGCCTCTGCTGCTCTGCTCCTTCAGTGAAACTTCCACCCACTCTGCCCTCTTGTCTGAGGGTGGCCTCGGCTTCTCCTCTTCACTATGGTCTGTGCTACACTGCCTGAATGCTGCTGAGTGGAGTCCCTGGATGGAAGAGGAGTGAACACGGGGCTCAGAATGCTGGCTTAACCTGGAAGTTGCTATGGGAGGTTAATTGGGTGAAAGCAGTAGAGGGTCTGACTTCAGAGTTTTAGGCCCTGCCGTGGGTCAGGGTTCAGCACCAACAGTCACACACTTCCGGGTCACAACGTGGGGAAAAGCAGCAACCAGGTGGGCGTGGTTGAAACACAGGTTCGCGTGTGCGTAAATAGCCAGCAGAGGTTCCTGCATGCTTGTTACCCCTACTTTATACGGGGGCCTCTGAGGCTAGAGTCTCTGACAATTCTCCTAAATTCCACCAGTAATTTCACTGGCCTAACAGACCACCGCACACAACGTAAGACGCCAATAAATTCTGGACAATGAAGATGATCCACTGACATGGGCTACAGATTCCAGAATCACTTAAGTCCTAAGAGCGGGTGGCCCATCCGCTCACGCACCCATTTCCTTTTTTTTCTTTGCAAAATGCAGTAAGTCCGTCTGTCCTTCAAGCCAGCTCCTCGGGGAACGCAGATAATCAGACACAATCCCTCCACTGATGAAGCTTACAGGCCCCGAAGGTGTTTGGTTTTGATGTTCATCAAGCCAGGAGTACATGCACAAGTTAGGGTCCCAAGGAAGTGGGACCATAATGAAGTACGTTGGCTACAAGTGTACATAAGCTGATGAGGCCTTAGAGAAAAGCCAGGCATGTCCAGTCCCAGGTACGTTCAGCTCCGTCTATCCGTCTCACTCACCCACTGCTGGTCAGCAGCTCTGACGCAAGCTGCACATTAGAGGCATATTAACTTGATTTCTTGGCTTCTGGAGGTCAACAGTAGGAATCATTAATGATGGGGCTCCTGATTTATAGGGACTTGCTAAAAAATAGACAATGTTTGTGTTTCTTCCCCCGACTCACTCCCACTTTTATGAGTGCTGTTAAGTTTCATTTCAGCATGTTAAGTAATTGGTGACTCACTGAAATGAAACTCAAGGCGGTCCTAGTAAAAACAGGGTGAAATGGTATTTCCATGTTGCGTGTTATGGTTTGAATCAGCCTGCTATTTGGAGCTTAGGGGAATCTTCTCAAAATGCCATTTTGGAGCCTCTCGTCCCCACTGTTCCCCACCAACTAGTCCCTAGGTTTCTCGAACTTTCCCAGAACTCCTTCTGCTACCCCCGAAATAGCAAAATTCATAGCTGAAGGGGACAGGGGGAAAGCTGAACCATGGCTGTATTTTTGTACGTGTTGTCTTATATAGAATACAGATGTTTCTACTTTTATCAATTACAATTACATGATGATACTGATGAACAGGTACAGACCCTCTGCTCACCAAATCCCTAAGATTTTTTTTTAATCACTATTACGCTCTGCTCTATAACCAATACCCCTTGCCTTACTCATCCACAAGTACCACAGGAATCCAGAACACTCCACTCCGGCAATCACTGTAACTGGGCATAAATACTGTATTTGTATTTAATTTCTTATAATCTTATATAAGTATGCTCAACGTTATTATGAAACTTGATCAACTATGCCTTGACTAATTTGGATTTTTGTGAAAATTGACTTAAATTCTCCATGGGCTGAAGTTAACCTTCACAGATTCTCTCTGGAGAATGCACAAGGTTAGAAGTATAGAGGGTATTTTTAAGTTCCTTCAGGAAGAGAGTTGTTTCTCAGGGTTTTAGTCTCATGAAGTGCCATCACTACCTACCAGGAGAGTGGTCCTTCTGCTAGGACTGGTGGGCTGCCTGGAAGCAGTGGGTCACTGGGATGCACCCATGTGGAAGGGATGGTACTTTCAAGAGCTGACGGGGGCAAGGGGGCGGCCTCCCATTGTCAGGGTGAGGCTCCAGGGAGCATGAGCCTGCCCACCTGCGATAAGGCACCATGAAAGGTGCCCCTGCCTTGAGGGCTCACACCTGGTTAGCGTTAGCCTCAGTGCAGGGTGAGTAAATGCAATGATGAAGATGGTGGTGGAGGCATTTGAGATCGGCTGCTGGGTGGGAACCGAGTGGCATCTGGGAATGAGAAGGCGAGTGTACACGTGCTATTCCCACCATATCCTGTGCAGGGCAGGCTCTGGCTCACTGGTGTTTGGATGACCGCAGACTTAAGGCTATTAAAAGACCTTGAGTGGCATCTCAAATACCCTGCTGTACTTACTCAAGGACTGAAAGTTTTGCTGTCATAGTGTGGGAGAGATTCCCTAATTGACAAGACTGCAATAAGAACCAAGGTCATGGAAGGGGCACATTGGCCCGGATCAGTTAGAGCTGAAATCAGGTCTGGCCACTTACCAGGGACCCCACTGGCCGGAAAATTTTAGGAGTCTCAGAAATGTTTCCACATTGGTAAGAACACCACAGAAGACACTGGTGAGAGGCTGGAGATGGCTCAGGTGCCGCTCGGAACAGTACAAGTGCTTTACTTGGGACACTGTTGCTAAAGGAATGTACGTTTTGGGGCTGCACCAAGGCCCGTGCAAATGTATCATTTAGGATGAAAACAAATCTTGCACTTGGCTGGCTAGCAGATTTAGGGAGAATCAGAACCATTTCAGTGACAGTGACCAGATCTTTGTCCACACCGCCTGACGTTGCACATTCGTTGCTATGACGCAGTAGGCCTGAGCACCCAGCTCTCCCACCATCACCCACTCCTTCTCTGGGAGGAGACTTGGCCAAGACTCTTGGGCACCAAGCATCTTTCACCCCCACATACTGTATTTGATAACAAACCCAGGCAGTGCCAAAGGAGTCTGGACACTGTCAAGTTTTTCCCTGAAAAATCCTAGTCTGGACTTTGCAGGGGAAAAAAAATACACTAGGGTTGGAATGGTTGGTAGCCGGAATCATCCTAGAAGTTGTCGTTGTGTCCATGTCTTCCTGCCTTTCTCCCTCTTACTCTGTCTTTCACTCACTCAGTGAAACTTCACCGCCCATGCCCAGGGCCAGGCATCTGGGGAGACCGGCTGCCCCATGAGGCCAGGGGGCCCCAGGCTTGGGGGTCAAGGTTCAGGCACAATGACAATTAAGGGGGGATGACGGTTTCTTTTCCACATGACCCCTGGGATTTATAATTTTTCAAATGTTTTTAATATTTCCCTGAAACTGAGCAGTAGAGATGGTGTCAACTTTGGGAGGTGGGTGGGTTCCTGAAGCATCCACAGCCACAGGGCTGTTAGGAAGCTGATTCCCTTTTCCCAGTAAAGTCAGAAGCCCCGCTGTGCATTGCTTGCTTAGTCTCACATAGATGCTGGGCAATGGAGGCCAAACAGGGAAAAGTGAAAACAGGAGGAAATGCCGGGTTTTCCTTTCTATGCCAAGTGTACAGCCATCCTCACACCCATCTGCCCACTCAGGGCTGTGGGAGCCGCAGTCTCCTCCAGCTCTCAGCGGGCTCACCTGCTGAGGGAGCCCGGCCTTGTGATGAGAGCCCGTACCCACGGCTGAGGGGGGCTCTCTCACGACAGGCTCAGACCAGACCAGGGCGTCAGGAAATAGGGCCTGTGTGGCAGAGTCGAGCACTGCATCGCCTGAGCCACGCCCCTTAGGGACTGGAAATATGCAGCTTTTAGACCCACCCCCCTCCCCATCCCAGCTGCCGCACCACAGCAGGAGGGTACCCGTCCTGACGGACAAGCACTCACTGGTTACACTAGGCTGGGAACGAGGCCTTGGGAGGGCCCAGCTACAGGTGAGTCCCCCCAGCTCAGGCATATTTAATGCGGGTGGAGGGTGAGCTTCTGTCCCCCACTCCTTCTTTTTATGTCTTCTTAACTGACATCTATCATCGTGCTAAGGAGTCACAGACATCCAACATCACGATGGCTTTGAGGATCATCTTACGGTGGGTGGGTGGAGCGACCCCCAAAAGCCTGGCACGGTCACCTCCCAGGTGCTTCCTGGGAAGGAGTCTGCTTGGTCCTACTACATCTTTTACAGCTAAACGGAGCATAGCTTGTCCCCAAACACATGCTCCTGTACCTCTTCCAGTCTCACCTTGGTAATCTATGTGCTCCTCCTGCTGTCAAGACATCTAAAGTTACTCTAAGACTTCTGAGATGAGGAGGGAGGGGAGGAGGGAGGGGGCCGGGCTGCAGGAGGCAGCACCACCAGTGCCTTCTAGGGAAAGTCTGCTCACTCCGGCCCCCTGAGGCCTCCGCCCACCCCTGGCCCCTCTGGGGAGAGGGAGCCTCCCTTCCAAAGCCCTGCCAAGGACACAAAGAGAATACGTCACCTGGCACCTGCCGTGCACGCAGAGGTCGGTCTCGTAGGGCCCGCAGGGCGTGCCATCCAGGACTCTGTCGGCCACCAGCAGCGGAGACTCCTTCCCGAGGGGCGAGCAGTAGAGTTCACACGGCTTATCTGAGGAGGGAAAGGGGGTGCACGTCGTGGGAAGGGGCGCGGGCGATGGGCCAGCCCGAGGGACCAGAAGTCGGCGTGGAATGAAGGTCTCAGCACCTGCTGCACCCACCCCTAGGAACACCTGGCACAGCACGTGGAGAAAGACCCTCCGGCTCAGGGGAATGACACACAGGTGAGAGCACCATGGGCTTTTCTTCATCTTGTTTTTTCTCCTTTGCACAGAAATAGAATTTCTTTTTCCTTAAAGTATTAAAGGAAATAGGCCGAATAAACACGTTGTGTGCTAATCTCTAAGCGAGCTGAATAGGTATCAGGGATGAGCCTGCGGCGGAGAAGGGATGAGGGGGGCAGGTCTCAGGGGTGTCGCCACGGCAGCAGCTTTTGCTAAAGCCTTAGTGGTCCCCAGTTGCTGGACAAAAGCTGCAGGGCTGTGGTAAGTGGCAAGAAGTGCCTGGAAGAAACTGAGCAGGAATAAGGTACAGAAAGGGGACACAGAAGCCTAGGACAACAGGTAAGGGCCCTGTCCCCAAGCAGGATGGGAACCCTGTTTTCTGCTGTTGTTGGAACCAAGCGAGTGCCCAGAAAATGCCAAGACCTCACGCTTTTGCCTAGACTGTTCCCCCTCCTTTCTGGAAGATGCCTGTTACCCCGGCAGCTTCTACTGCAGAGCTTTCTTCTCATGCCACCTCTGACTTGGAGTCTCCACCTGCATTTTGCACACACTTCCATTAAAGCTTCCAAATCCTGCTGTTCTGTAACTGTCTGAGCAACTCCCACATACAAGGGGATCTCCTATAAGGTGGGTCCTGTTGCTAAAGGAATGTGAAAGGGATGGACTGCAATTACCTTTAGACTGAAGAACTGATGGGAATGGGAGCCCTTGGAGGGCAAGGAACCAAACTTCCAACTTTCGTCAACACTCTTACATCCTTAGTTGTACAGGAGGTCCAATCTTCTAAAAAGTTATACAACCACACACTGTAAGCAAAGAAGCCTGGAACACCCCTCTCACCCGGCTGATGTGTGCCGAGATGAAATCCGGATTGAGGCTGGACTCTTTGGGGTGCGTCCCAGCCTCTCATTAGTTCACTTGTCATCAGGACTTAGCGCTTGGATGGGGAAGCCACACACAGGGCAGCCGAGATGGGCTTGGGGTCTTGGGAGCTGAGTGATCACATGTGCTTGGTGGAGGCTTGGAGGGTTCCCCTGCTGCTCCACCGTGTGGCTCTTAGAGCACCTGTTGTTCTCTCTCTGCCAGTGGTTACAAGGTTTTACTAAGGTGGAGACACTATTTAATTTTTGAGGACATCACAAGCACTCACCCCAGCCCTGCCTGGCCCTCTGTCGGGTATACAAGCTGAGAAAACTGCTCACTTCCCTATCCCCAAAGCTGCCCGCCAAGACTCCATAGCCAGGCCTCAGTTGATTGGACCATTAGGGGGCACCTGACTACAGCTGGACCAATCAGAGTCTTTCTCCTCCACCACAACCTCATAGTCAGGCCTCATGAGGCCTCAGCTGATTGGATCAGGAATAGCCACCTGATCACAGCTGGACCAATCAGAGTCTCCCTCTGGGAAAGTAGCACTGAAATTTAGCTAGAGAGGTTGTGTCTGCTCATGGTTGATGAGCCCCAAAGAAGTCTACACTTCTTTATCCACAATTCAGGAATCCAAAAGCTCTGAAAACCGCAAACATTGGTTTGGTTTGGTTTGGTTTGGTTTTTACATTTGTGCCAAACACATTTGGCAGCAAAACTAGCCTTGACTAGCTGTTGGTGGGGTTTAGTATCCCACTTGTAGACTGTTTGTGAGTTACCTGGTAGAGATGTCCATGTCTCTGACTGTGGGGTGATTCCCAGGACCCCACTGGGGGTATTAAGTAATATATGGTCAACACCCTGTTGTTACCTTTCTAGCACCTAAAATGCTCTGAACTCTGAACCACATCTGGCCCCAAAGGATTTGGACACGGGATGAGGACGTGTATAAAAGGCGCTGTGTACTGCCCTTTGACCTGCATGTGGACAAGCTGTGAGAAAGCCAGTGCGGGGCGGGCAGGAAGAAACGGCTCACACACACAAGCTGTGGTCGAACATGGAGAGGAGATCCTGACATCTTCAGGGCCCTGGCCCCAGACCTTCATCCTGGCCCTTGGGACCCCTGAGACACTCTGCATCTTGGCAACCACTCTCTCCTTTCATTACACAACTCCAGCCAGCATGGCCATGCTGGAGTCAGACAGCCCTGACCATCAGACCCTCCATCCCCTGGAAGATGCAGACCGGAAGAAGGTTTCGCCATGTTGGGGAGAGGGAGCTGGGAAAGCACCTCCACGTCCAGACACGACCTTCGCCAAGGCCTCCGACACTTCAGTGGGCACGTGGCCTGCTGGCCTGGGCAGGGAAGATGGAACCCTTGAAGGTTTCCACTTAAATGAGATTCCACAGGGAAAGCAGAAAGGGGGTGGGTTTGGCAATGGGACATCTCAATGGGTTTCTGTTGAAAGGCTTTTCCATAGAGAAATATTTGCTAAGGAGAGTCTTTGTCTTCTTTTGGAGGTGGTGTGGATTTGTGGTCCTGAGTCCTCCCTTGGAAAATCTACCTCTGCAAGAATTTTTTTTTTCAATGAGAGAAAAAAGAAAAAAAAATACAGCTTCCCTCTTCTTGAACTGTGTGTCACTCGCCAAAGAATTCCACAGTGATAGCAGTGCTATGAATAGGGCAGTCATAATGGGCTGCAGAAGAACCCAGAGCCCAACCACAGGAATCGTTCCTCTCACGGCGGAGCTAGAATTGTGCCTTTTATAAACAGAGTTGGGAGAAGAACACTTATAATCTGTATTCTCCCCCTACCCTCTGAATTGGCCATTTATTATTTTGTTTTTATCCTTGAGAAACGCTCTTTAAAAAAAAAACCAAAAAACTGCTTCTGTTTATACTTGAAAAGGCAATGAAACCAATGAAGTCATGACGATTCCACTCCGGAGGAGGACCTCTGCAAAGCCCCGAACTTGGGGTCTCTCCTTCAAAGGCCGAGGGCTGAATGTGCTTATCACGTAGGGTTGCACTTTTCGGATCAAAGGCGGTGGCATTCTGGCTTATAATTATTTACTGCTTTGGCAGGAAGAAAAAGCAAGTGGGTGAAAACACATTCTGAACCCAGTGAGCTTCCCCAAATAGCTGCACTTGGAGGCTCCCTGGAGGGGGGATCTGGGCAGACATTGGCTGCAGCCACGGTGATGATAAGGAACAAGGAGCTCAGTGATCCAAAAGTGGTTAGAAGTCAAATAGAAGCTGGATCTGGACTTGGAGAAATCTGTGGAAAAACAGACATTTCAGTGGGATTTCTGTACAGAAGAAACGAGGCAGGAGAACTGAAAACCGGAGCAAGAGACCAAGGACAGAATAACAAGGCCGTGCACACAGCAGAGGCGGAATGAGAGCAGGGAGAGTCTGTCTGAGACCTGACCTCTTCGTGCTCCCGACATGTGGGAGAGGACAGGCAGGGGACCTCAAACATCTTTATCTGGCGGTCTGGGCTCGGCTGAAGGCTTGGAGACGAAGCTGCTTTTCATCAAAACCTGCCACTGCGCTGGAAACACGGCAGCCCCTCGGTGCTATCTCCCTCCTGATTAGGGGTCCGAGGGCGCCTGGTACATGGGGAAGCCTCCCGTGTCTTTCTGCATCAGATGAACAGCCAGGCAGGGCCGTGAGGGGCCGGGTGAGTCTGCTTCCAGCTGCCTGTCTTCCTGTTAGGGGTGCAGGGCTCCTCCCTGGTCTGCAGGGAAAGCTGAGGGTATAAAGGCTGCAATTCCCTGGAAGTTTGCTTGACTGGGTGACAGGGCAGCCACAATCACACAATCACACAAAAGATGCTGGTCTTTGTAAAAAAGGAAACTGTCTGGGGGAGCTCCCCAGAGCTTTAAAATGAGCCCACGGCTAGGTGGGCTGGTATTCTCTGCTGCGACTTAGAACATCCCATGTCGCTCTATGAGTCAGTTCAAAGCGGATGGGTCAGGGCGTTCAAAGCTGAGGGTCTGAGGCCATTATTCCCTGTGCCGCCTGGTCCTATCCCCGGACCAGCTGTGCACACTTGAACTTATAACAGCAGAATGTCGATTTCAGAGGTTCTTCCGATCCCAGGGCAGAAACCCAAGTCCTGGCACAGGAACCTCATTCTTCTGCAAAAAAAACTTCAGAGGCTGTGTAACAATCAGGCCCAGTTGCTTGAGTTCTTATTAAAGCTCCCTCACTCGGCACTCGCGAATTCATGCTTTCTATCTTACTCCAGTACTGGAAGCCAGATGGTTATTTTCTGAGTCAGCAAGTCCGGAACTGGGGTCAGCCCCCTCCCTGCTATTCACCAGCTGCAGGAGCTCAGACGTGTCATGTAACCTGTAACCTCTCACCTTCGGCACAACTTGTCTTGCATATTAAATGAGATGATGTGTGCAGAGCTACCCTGAGCCCAGCACATGGTGTACACTCCGTAAATGGAACAACATAAATGTTGTCATCAGTATAACACACCCTTGTTTCCTGAAGAGGAACAGAATTTTATGTGTAAAACACCCTGAACTCGGGTCTGGGGGATCCTTGTGGACAATAAACAGGCACCATGAATCCTTTCGGACATGATGCCCCACCTAGGATTTTATCAGCCATTGTAAATGCTTGCAGTGGCCCTGTGGGCAGAGATTCTTGATTTGGGAGGAAGCTCTGGGAAAGAAGACGTGCTTATTGTTATCTGCACGAAGTTGTAAACGGTCATTGAACAAAACGAATGCAAATACATAGATATGATGAACAGAGTAGTGGTTACCAGAGGGGAAGGGGGATGGGGGGAGGGTGATTTGGGTAAAGGGGAGTCAACTGTACGGTGACGGATGAAAACTAACTTCCACTGGTAAGCACACTGTAGTATACAGACAGGTCGAAATAGAGTGTTGTATGCATGAAACTTACATAATGTTATAAACCAATGTTACCTCAATTAAAACAAAAAAAACAAATCTTTCCCCAAACACTCCTGTCAAGGAGTAAGAGTCAACCCAAGATGAACCAAGAAAAGAAATGCAAGAACGTATCAACACTGGAGAGAGAAACTGCAGAGGCGCAAACCCTGTCCTGCACCTGCAGAGCCTTGCTTTCAACGCTGCCCGGGGCTGTCAGCACCGGGCACTAGACGGCAGGCTACCAGCACACCCACCCTGCTGCAAACGGGGGTGCGGGAGGAACCTGGTCCTCGGTCTGCCTTGCTCGCAGCTGCTTTGGGGAAATTCCACGGAGCTGGGTCATCCCAATTCAACCTCCTGCTCAAGAAGTGGGTCCACAGCTGAATTGGGCAGGACTGGAGCATCCTATTGGGTGGATCGCAGAGGTAGGGGTGCCCTGTGGGTTTTCCTAGGAGTGTTTACAGTCTGCGGAGCAGGGAGGGAGGTCGCAGTGAAAGGATACGCTAGGTGCCTTTACCATCAACCACCACCGCTGTCAGCAGGCCCTTCTTCTTGCTGCTCAGCCGGTCGTGCGTCTGGCACTGCTGGTCCCGGAAGCTGGGCAGGCCCTTGGGGCAGGGCAGGTTCTCACAGACCGCGTGCTCCACGCTGGCGCCCAGGCAGTGCGCGCCTCCAGGCCCCGGGCTAGGAGGAAGAGAGCGGTGGTGTTAACTAGACAGGCCACGGAAACAGCAGGGGTGCTCAGGTTTGGCCTCTCTTTCCAGGATGGGGAAGGGGCGGGCAAGGTATCCAAACTAACCCCGCTCTGCTCTTACACACCGTCTCTCAGCAACAGCAGCCCCCCGCTGATGGCATGTTAAATGAGCCATCAGGAAAGTGCAGCCAAGAACTGTAAATCAAGGTCATCTGGAAATAGAATATGATGAGTGCCAGTTCAGCAAGATCCACAAATTGTGTCTTTCATCGGAACTTAAAACTTGACCATCTGTAACACTAAAAACTCCAAGAGGAATTTTTAGTGTGTGTAGGTTGTTTGTTTGTTTGTTTTCCGTCTTCTATAAAATGAAAACTTTTTAAAATTTTTAATTGAAGTATAGTCAGTTTATGATGTTATGTTAGTCTATGGTGTACAGCATGGTGATTCAGTTATACAAATATATATATTCTTTTTCATTAGTTTACTACCAGATACTGAATATATTTCCCTGTGCTATATGGTAGCACCTTGTTGTTTATCTGTTATAAATATAGTAGTGTTTATCTGCAAATCCCAAACTTCCAATTTATCCCTCTTCTCCTTTCCCCCAGTAACCATAAGTTTGCTTTCTATGTCTGAGAGTCTGTTTCTGTTTTGTAAGTAAGTTCATTTTAGTCATTTTTAAAGATTCCACATACAAGTGATATTATATGATGTTTTTCTTTCTCTTTCTGACTCACTTCACTTAGTATGATAATCTCTAGGTCCATTCATATTGCTGCACATGGCATTATTTCATTCTTTTCTGTGGCTGAGTAGTATTCCATTGTATAAATATACCACAACTTCTTCATCCAGTCATCTGTCGATGGACATTTAGGTTGCTTCTGTGTCTTGGCTACTGTAAATAGTGCTGCTATGAACATTGGGGCGCATGCATCTTTTTGAATAAAGGTCCCCTCTGGATATATGCCCAGGAGTGGGATTGCTGGATCATATGGTAAGTCAAGTTTTAGTTTTTTTAAGCAATCTCTATACTGTTTTCCATAGTGGCTGCATCAAACTACACTCCCACCAACAGTGTAGGAGGGTTCCCTTTCCTCCACACTCTCTCCAGCACAAAATGAAGACCTTTAAATGGCTCCTAGATACGCTCCAGATGTCACTAAGTTTCAGAATGAGTAAATAAATAACTCTATAATGAAAAGAATCAGAATGATTAATTCACTTTTCATGGGCTCTGGGTAGAGACCAGCTGGATGGCAGCCCTGCACCCTTTTCCTGGGTAAGAGTGAGAACACACGTGCTCAATGATGTGGTCTTGGGTCCTAGATGCTCTATGCTTAGGCTGGGGTTTGAACCAGTTCTGGAGACCCAGCTGTGTTCTTTGACCACATCTGCACACATGAGGGGTATCAAAGAGAAGCAGCAGGACCCTGGCCTGGCCAGCTGACGTGTGGCTCTGCCCAGCTCTTCCATGAGGCCCCGGATGTCCTTGTAGGACTATGACCTGGGCAACCTCAATGGTTCCTTTCACCTCCGTGATGGAGTAAGACTGCTCCCCCAACTCCCCCACACAAATCACAACTGTTCTGCTCAGTGGCTTTTCCCAAATTATACACACTTGCCGGCAGGGTGACATTTTTGCTACATTTCATTTCTTTTCCTCCCTTTGCCATTTCTTGTGTTCAGACAGTGAGGCCACCTTGAGACCACTGCCTTATGGAAGAGACGTGACAGCAGAAGGTGGCAAAAGTCTTCAGGCTTTTGTGTCACAACAGTCTACACCAAACTTTCTCTGCAAAGGGCGAGACTGTCCATTTGTTTGGCTTTGTGCGGCATGAAGTCTCTGTCGCAACTACTCAGTTCTGCCACTGCAGCACAAAAGCAGCCAGAGACAAAGTGTAAACAAAACAGCATGGCTATGTGCCAATAAAGCTTTATTTACAAAACCAGCGGTGGGCCAGATTTGGTCCACGGGCCATAGTGTGCCAGTCCCTGCTCTAGAAAAATGTGTTGGAGGAAACATCTGGAGTCAGAGGAAAGGCCCCCCTTATACCTCCATGTCCACTTCATACACGCCAGATAACATTTCCCTCACCTGGGAGGAGAGGCAGCCTTGAAAGATTATATCCCCTGGTGGCTCCACAGAGGTTTCTGAGTTTTGATCTCAAAGTCAGGAAATGGCGAGACCTCTCTAACTGACCTGAGAAGAGAGGCACCTTTTTGTTCTTTTTCCTGCCCAGAGTCCCGGGAGGCAGCTAGAGCCCAGGGAAGTGACTGCATGGCGTGTTTGGAGAGATGGAGTCTCAGACAGCCTCCCAGGAGCCCGGGCCCAAGTGCCAGGTGTGGACAGGTGAATGTATTTCTGTGCCACAAACCACAGTATGGAAGGAACAGAGAGGGGCTGGCCCTGAAGAACCACGTGGACCAGCAGAAGGGATGGTGAGGCAGAGAAGTTCTATGGTAAGAAGCTGAGGGTTCAGTTGTGTCCTGCCTAAAATTCATATGCTAAGGTCCTAATCCCCGGAGCCTCAGAACATGACCTTATTTGGAAATAGTACCAATGCAGACATAATAGTTGAGATGAGATCATACTAGACTAGGGTGAGCTCCTAAACCAATACAACTGGTGTTATTATAAAAAAGGGGAAGTCTGGGGACAGACACCCACAAGGAGAATGCCATGTGAAGATGAAGACAGAAATCAGGGTGATGATTCTACACTCGAAGGAATGCCAAAGATTGCCAGCAAACCACCAGAGTCTCCCTCACAGCCCTTCCAACCCTTCCAGCGTCTTGATCTTGGACTTTGAGCCTCCAGAACTGGGAGAGTAAATCTCTGCTGCTTAAATGACACCCAGCTGAGGCAGGTTGTCATGGCAACTCTTAGAAGAAGAATACACCAGATAACCCAATGACCTGATGCATACTCAACTGAACTTAGATGCAGACTCAGGGAAAAGGGAAAAAGTCCTTGAAGAGATTAGGAAGCCAACATGGACTAGAGTGGAGTTCAGACATACAAACTGGATTGGCTTTGTACAAAAAGAAAGGAAGCTACGTTTCCTACACATCTTAGGGTGTAAACTAAGATTTGTGCGGGTCATGGAATTAACTTCCTGAGTTGTCATCAAGCTTTGTTTTAGCTTCCTTTACATCCACCGCCATCAGTTGATTTTCCAGATTTATGTCTGACTGACTGACCCTCGTATACCAACAGCCTCACAGCGGGTAGGTGGAGAGGCGATCAGATGTGACAGAAGCAAACTCCAGGCGGCAGCCCATGCAATACCGCACATGCCTCAGGATGTTTCCCTCCTGAATTCTGTTTATCTGGTTTCTTCTCCATGTCTGGTCTTCTCCCACAGGCAAGTCCCCTTTCGGCCCCCATCTGGCTCGCTGCCCCATCTTCCCCATCCCCCATCCCTAACTCTCTGCGCACCCTGAAGGCCACCTCCACCCTGCCGCCTAGTTTTCTTTCCCACCTGGAACCTCTCCTGACCCTGCTTGGGTCTCTGCCGTACTGCTCATCACCGACCTTCTGAAACGGCGAGCTGAGCTCCTGCCTTCCTATTCCTCTGCAACCTCAAGCAAGAGAACCTGGCACAGGCTGGTCTTTAACAAACAGTCGTTAGACTGAATTGAACTCTATTATCAGAGGTTATCTTAAAAAGATCAAAAAAAAGAAAGCAATGTCAGGAAAAATCAGGTAGGGAGCTCTAGGAATACACCTCTCCACCTGGACAACAATTGTATTGGCAAAACTGCCTGAAGTAACAATTTTGAAACTCTGGAGTCTATCTGAAAGCTGGTAGCCTCCAGGAGAAAGCTTGGCTGGTAAGTGGTGGTTACTGTCGATCAATTTCAATCTTGATGGTGGTAGTGGCAACTGTCCCCCCTCCCCCAGCCCCATGGCAGGTGGCGGTGCCTACATTCCTGGTGTGGCTTGCTGGAGTCAGGGTGGACAATAAAGACTTTGTCCTCCAAATACTGGAGCTCTGTGTTCTGGCTGCTCAGCGATGCTTTCGATTTCTAAGGTACAGGGGCTGGCCACCACTATGTCAACCCCCACCAGCTGAAGTGGCTTCCAGGGAATTTCACTAAGCAATACATGTTTAAAAGTTCTTTTTCCTCTTTTGGGAGCCAGATATTTAAGGATCAGGTCATTCAGAAGCAACTGCACATATGGGAAAATTTAGAAAGCCACGAGGTATGCCCAGGGAATGAGGAAGGCTCAGAAAAAGTCAGAGGAGACCTTGCACTTCAGGTTGATCCTCAGCACAGAGAAACCTTTCAACAGCAAAGAAATAACAAGTCCTGTGATGGGGGAGAAGCTGATTTCCAGAGTTGCATTATAAGATTCAAACGTCCAATTTTCAACAAAACAATTACTAAGGCATACAAAGAGACAAGAAAGGACAACTCATTCAAAGGAACAAAATACATTGGTAAAAACTGTGCCCAAGGAAGTCCAGAGGTTGGGTTAGGTTTTCTAGACAAAGACTATGAAACAGTGGTCTTAAAGATGCTCAAAGTGCTGAAGGAAGACACAAGGACAGGAAAATGATACATGAGAAAAGCGAGACTATCAATAAAGAGTTAGAAATTACAAAAAGGAAACAAAATCTCTGAAGTTGAGAAGTACAATCACTGAAATGAAAAATTGACCAGGTGGGCTCAAAAGCAGGTTTGAGCAGGCAGAAGAAAAATCAGGAATATAAATTTGTCCTATGAGTTTGACTACAGGACAACTGAACTATTGAGTCTGGGGAGGGAAAAGAAAAAAGAATGAAGAAAAGGAAACAGAGGAGATCTGTGGGAAACCAAGGGGACTAATATATGCATTACAGGAGCCTCAGATGGAGAAGAGGAAGAGAGATTATTTGAAGAAATAATGGCTGAAAACTTCCCAAATTTGAAGAAAGGCAGGAATCTACAATTCAAAAAGGATAAATTCACTGAGATGCACTGTAATTAAACTGTC